AAAAAAAATTCAAACATTTTTTGATATAGTTTTAAAACTGAGCACATTATACTTTTTGGGTAGTTGCTCCTCTGAATAATATGTATCTATATATAGTATACTAGTAAAGTATTCCTTGTCTTTGAGTAAGTCATTATATTAAATATGTTAAATTTGAATTCAATGAAAATTAATGAATCTGAACTCTGAGCAGACACAATATTATACTCTATTTTTAAGGATATAAAAAATTGGTGTTCACATATTTTTTAATTACAGTATAACCTAGTTATTAAAGTTATTATACCTAGTATAAAAATTTGTAGCCTTGAGTATAAAAATTGAACATTTTATAAATTTTAAAATACAAAATAATTTACAAATTTTTGTGATCACTTTAAATTTTTAACTTCAAATTATTATTAAAAAAAAAAATTTGACCCAGTGTCGGCCTGGGATCTAAAGGGCCAAATTAGGAAAATTATTTAAAGGGCTTCTCAAAAAAATAATTTTTTTTGATAACTTTCACTTTTAAAAAAAATTTCAAATGTTAAGGTTAAAAATAATCTATATTTATACAATATGTAATCATAAAATGGAATATGTATAAAAAAATAAAAACTATATAATTGAATAAAACTAGATTGTTGTATAGTACAATTTATATTAGTAATTCTTTTAGTAAATTTGATGAGTGAGCCACATTATCAATCAATTTTTCTCGGTCAATTTCTAGGTTATATCTTTTTCTACAGCTGTCATCATTAATGGATCCAAATTGTCTTGTTTAACAGTTGATCTCAACTTTGTTTTTATAATCTTTAATTTTGAAAAAACTTGCACGAAACTTATGAAGATGGTAAAATTAATAAAAATTTGTAAACTATGAATAGATAACAAAACAGACTTGATTGAAAAGATAATTCTTGAATTATTACAAAAGCACAATTTTTGCACTTACAATCAGATTTTTTTATTAAATCATCTTCACTCTCAGCAGTGGCACCCAGATAGGTTAGTAAGGGATGCAACTGCATGTGCTATCGTGGGGGGTGGGTGGGTAGGTATAGACGCCTATGGTTATAGGTACCTATCTAGATAAAGTATAGGTTAACAGTTAGTAACAGTTCAAAAGAAAGTTTTTTTAAATTAAAAAAATGGGTGGATGGGTGTGTAACTTTTGTTAGTTGCATATGCTCTCAAAATACCACTGTGCGCCACGGACTCTCAGTATCATTAGATGATTCAGTTTGATAATTTGTATCATTTTTGTAATTAATATCACTAAAAGATAAATTTGGTAGGACATTTTAGAATTGTGAAGCAAATTGTTTTAGCTCCAGCCTCCAAGCATAACTTGTCTGTCTACTCCTGCCAATTCACAAATAGTTTTTAATGAATCAATGCACTTTTTTTTCACAAACCATAAATGTTTTTTGAATTTCAACTGGTCTGAAGCTCAAACACTGTTATGGAATTATAAAATTCCTGCTGAAACTAATTTTTCTAAAATAATTTTCCCTACATTTTTGAGAATAACTGCTAATTTTAAATATTTAACTACCTACCATAAATAGTAAGTACCAATTAGATCCAATTTTTATCAGAATTCACTCGCAAAGTTGAAAATTAAAACATTATAACTAATAAGTAATGTATATACATTATGCATACACAAAAAAAAACACATGTCTTGGAAAATCTGTATACTAACTGTAGATTTATATAGCTCAGAATCTAAAACCAAAAAGTCGAAAATACCAAATATCTATACCACATATATGAAAAAATGTTCGTGTTTAGACAATACTTATATACCTAAGTATTTAATGAATATTTTAAGTTTCACAGTTATTCATTTTTGAATCATAACAAAAAATTAGAATTGATTTTATCAACAACTTATTTGAATACAGTTATTTAATACAAAACATTTAACTAGGATATTGTATCCACTCAATGTAAAATATATCTACATATTTAGTTAAATAAAACAAAATAATTTATAAAAATACATTTTTATTGTTTATTCAATAAATATTCAACTAAATTATTCTTAAGTTACTTAATAACACTTTATGCTACAGGCTTTTCTTGAGTGTTCTTTTCTAGTATTTTATCTAGTTCACCTGACCTATGCAATTGCAATAAAATATCACAACCACCAATGAATTCTCCATCTACAAAAACTTGGGGAATTGTTGGCCAATTGGAGAATTCTTTTATTCCTAAAAAATAAACAAAAAAATTAATGAGGATTATATAATTCAATATAGATGGAACAATAGAAATTTTAAATTTTTCAATAACCGTATATATTTTAAAACGAGATTTTCAGACAAAAATTATTGATGATATTTAAAAAAAATTATTAATAACATTTTAGTGTTCAGTCCATTACAAAGTTGTACAATTTATTCTATACTAACAGTCTCAGTTTCTTTAGATTTGAACGGTAATATTTCAGGTCAATAGTTTATTCAACCCATTCTTCAAGTTCTTTATCACATTTATTGCATATTTTGGATATTACAAACGATACAAACTATTTTTACACTCTAGATAGTCGACACGACCAGTTTATCGTGATTCTATCATTATTATTTTTTTCCGACAGTAACCGATGATAGATAACAGAGAGTGACGGTTAAACGAGTTTCTACTGAATTGTATTCTGAGTCCATTCAATTTTTAAATATTTTATATACAAGATTATCGAGGTATAAATAAAATTTAAGACTTATTTTCCAATTCACTGCCTGTGGATTATTTTTAATTAATAGTGACTATAAATGGTGTGAATATGTTTTACATATAAGCACTTACTACCTACTACAATAAGATTAAGGTTCATATATATATGATATATAATATACATTTAAAGACCTCCTCAATCAGTTACCTATCAAAATGTAGCCATTCTGACCCTTCTATTTAGTAGTTTTATCTCATCAATCTGCTTGTATTCTGAAGAATTTCACACATAGAATCTATAGTTACAAGATATACACTATATTTTAACACTTAGCGATTTAAGTATGTATTTAAAAATTATCTTAATTATAAATTTAATAAATCATATTATAATCTACAATATACGAAAAAAGCAATATTGAAAAATGAAAGCATAATAAATTCAAATTTCACTTATTTTATAGGATTAAAAAACAAATTGAAATTGAAAAGAACTATATGAAAAATATTTACCATTTCTAAGTTTTTCATCAATAAGTACATCATGAGCTTCAAATTTAGCTTTGTGAATATTTAAAATGTCAACAACTGCATTACTAAAGCCACATCTGGGAGCTTGTGGATCACCTTTCATGAAGACGACGATTTTGTTACCCTTCACTAATTTTCCTATATGAGATTGGATTGGATCATCAGATTTAGTACATAGGAATTGTTTATAAGAGTTGGATGAGCTAATTCTTGTTGTTTTATTGATGTTTAACATCTGACGCAATATCGATGTCATATTTAAAAGATGAAACCTATATAGGTACTATTATTTAAACAAAAATGAAATATTCAATATCTAGGTTGGCTAAGAATGATAAAAATATATAGTTAAAAATAAGTAATCACAGAAATGTACGTTTTTAGTTTTTAGAGTTTAATATTTACACAATTTTAAGTTACAAGACAAAATACATTCGCAAAATAAAAATTCGAAACTTCGCAATCAAAAAGATCTCCGGATCTCTCAATTCTGTTTAAAATACTAAAAAGTAAATACTAAATAGTAAAAAGTGAAACTCGAAATCTCAATTCCCAAAAATTGATAAGTGTAATAAATCCATGAACTTCGTGATAGTTAAATAATGAGTGGTAACTATGATTAGGTTCACTACCACAGTACCACAGAACAATACGACAATACAGACGGTTGGACAACACTTTACTTACTGTCTTGTCTTACCCATAGATTATATAGACATATATATATTATCTATGGTCTTACTATGGTCATTGGCTATTATCATAGTGATTGCTTATCACTACTTATCAAAAAATGTTCAATGATTTTGGTTGGGATTACAAACATAACCTCCAAATATTTGTGTAGAAAAAACTTAACCTATAGAACTTCAAATACCAGGGTTAATTGAAAAAATAGTGAATACAAAATATAAATTGTTGTATGAAAATCGCAATTTTTATTTATAGATGCAAAATATAAATTATAATTTATAGGTATAATTTATAACACAATTTACATTTAATTTTAGATTTAACGAAAAAAGAAAAAATGTATTTGTGTTCATGGTGGGGAGAAAGTGTTCGCCATTTTTCCCTTCCAGCCGACCTGCCGACCCCACACCAACACATTATTTAAGATTAATTTACATGTTAGCGGGACGTGTAGAGGCGGCGTACGACCCCCTGAATCTCAATTGATAGACGGAACCATTTGGACCGCTAAACAAAATCGAATATCGTGTCAACAAATCGTGTTAAATTCGAAATCCATTCAAGGTTTTCCGTCCACAATGGCAGACAGTGAACCGTTAAGTATAGACAGCATAATCGCACGACTGTTAGAAGGTAAGATTGACAAACAATTCGTACGGAAACGTCGGAAACACTATTATTGGCATTCTTAGTTTCTTGTATTGCAATACAATCTGGTAGGTTAATAACTCATATGTATCAACGCGTTATAGTTAGAATCGGTTGAGTTAATTTTTTGACCAATTCGGTAAAAGTTTAAGAATAGGGATCATTTTAACATAAAAATGACGTGAGTGATACACTCGATTACAATTATTTAAACTGGTACCTGCATCAAAACTAAACCATTTATGAACTAACTTATTATATTAGTGTTCTTTTATGCATCTATATGATTTGATTCATGTTTTTGAAATTGATAATTTCAAGACTCAGATACATAGTGTTTTCTTATATTAAAACACAAGCTATATTACTAAGGATCCTAGAACCTGGCCTCGGAGCTTAGGCATTTTTTTGTGGCCTTTGTAAGTCATATGTAGATAACTTTTTTTAAATTAATACCTGGTTCAATTTAACTGCATATACGCTGTGCCTGCAGCTGCTACTGGAACAACCTGGAATTAAATTGCATTGCAGAAATTCAGGCGATATTAAGCTAACCAAAAATACTCCACTTTTAATTTATGATCCTCAATTTGAACTAGTGTACTAACACTTAGTTAACTACAAAATACCTACTTTATTTCAATGTTATTTATGGTATTATGCACACGATATATTGACATAATAAATGTGTACATTTTGTATTTTATTATCATGGTATTTGAAAGAGTTTTGCACTAGGTTAAATTTAACTTGGTTAACATGTATACAAGTAAAGCACCCACAAATATATTATGCTTTGGGTTACCAATTCTATAAATCAGGCTTAAGATACATAATAAATAATATGACTTATACACCTGATATTCAAATTATGACTCATTTAGTAAGTACAGCTTAAAATTAAAATGTATACATATTAACCTTATAGTATAAAAATACTAAAAAAATAATGAATATAATAAGTTAATAATAGTAATTCATTGGGTTAATACTTATATAGTCATATTATTAAGCTCTCCGCTCTCGTTGTGACTGTTTTTCAAAGAGAATTTCAAAACCATTGTGCATAGGCGTACTTGACCTTAAAATTTGGGGGACTTCAGCCCTAGAATTTTTATAATAAGTAAATTAAGTGTGGTTCTGCCCAAAACATGTTACATTAATTAAAATAAACGTACGATTAATATTTTATTTTATTATTAGTGTGTGTTTTATGAATCTTAAAAGAGGGGAAAGAGGAGTTAAATATTAAATTATTAAAATATATTATTCTAGTTACATAAATATATTCAAGTTTTTAATTTAATTTTCTTAAAATATAAGTATTATAATAATATGACAATATATTATTAAATCTAATTCTGTTTTTAGCAAGTGTCCTTTAAGTGTTCAGCAGGCACAGCGTTCGTTGTCTGGTAATTTTTACTGGTTTGTCGTTACACCATTTATATTAATGTTTCAAAAAAAAAATCATGAGTATCCTTCTGTGTGACGACTATTTAGTATTTTTGTGTTTACTTTATTGACAACTTTTAAGTATGTAGTAAAAACTCCACGACATGATATGTCATACACAGGGTCATCACATTAATGACAATATATATAATTTAACAGTAATAACTAAAAAATAAATTTTCCCGGATGTTAATTCTTTTTTTTGTAATTTTTATTTTATAAGACTTTCCTAGCCAACAGTAGGCTATCTATATCTAGTTATATTTAAAATTTTTATTTTTGACTTTTATAGCAAGATAGCGATTAAAAAGAAAAAGGGAAACAGATAATAATCGGATGTTAATAAAAAATAAAACAATTTTTTTAAACTAAAATTTATAAATTATTACCTTATGCCGTTGCGTTAGAGATTGTTTGGTTATGACTTTGTAAGTGTAGCATAGAAGACAGCTGCATTATTGTCCACTAAAACAAGATCGATTAGAAATTCTAATTTTCTAACTAATGTCTTGTGATTATGCTTACAGATCAACAATTTAAATTGATTGTAAACAAGTTGCACAATAGTTACAACTGGTTTGAAAATGTGCGCTACAGATCTAGTTAACAACATTTTATTATATAACCTAGAAATCAAGTTTTGTACCTACGTTTTTAGGTACATTTTAACTAAATGGTTATATTAGGAGGGGTGGCCAACCCAAACAAACGTGCGGGCCATTTTGAAAATACATTATAATTCTGTGAGCTGCATAAAAAAGTAGAAAATATTATAATTGTAGCGTTGATGTTGTCAATAATAATATGGGTGCCATGTTGCGCATACATTCTGGAATATTCTACATTCGTCTAGGCAATATAAACAAAACATTTGAAAAATCTCGAGGTCATAAAGCTTTTGAAAGTGGACCTCGGGTTAGCCACTCCTGAGTTATATAGTCCTTACATTTTAACCTATATCATACTTGGTTTGTCAATATCACATGTTATTGTTTTCTATGTTCATAATTGGTTATAAAATATTATTAATATCAGATACATTTTGTATATTATTGGAAATATATTGTGTATTATTCTTAGAATTGTATAATACCTACAACTCAAAAGTACTTTATTTGCAGTAAGAGGATGTCGACCTGGTAAAACAGTACAAATGTCTGAAGCAGAAGTCCGAGGATTATGTTTGAAATCTAGAGAAATATTTTTACAACAACCAATTTTATTAGATTTAGAAGCACCTTTAAAAATATGTGGTAAATAATAATTTTATGTACATTTTTCGAAGTACCTAATTCTTTTTATTCTTATTTTATATTTTATTATTTAGGAGATATACATGGGCAGTACACTGATTTGTTGCGTTTATTTGAGTATGGAGGTTTTCCTCCAGAAGCAAACTATTTATTTTTGGGAGATTATGTTGATCGTGGAAAACAGTCATTGGAAACCATATGTCTTTTATTAGCATACAAAATAAAATATCCAGAAAACTTTTTTCTCTTACGAGGCAATCATGAATGTGCAAGCATTAACAGGATCTATGGATTTTATGATGAATGTAAAGTTATTTATAATGTTGTTAATTATTTTAACTTTTTTTTTATTTTAATATTTTTATTATAAACATAGGTAAAAGGCGTTACAATATAAAATTGTGGAAAACATTTACTGATTGTTTTAATTGTTTACCTATCGCGGCTATTATTGATGAGAAAATATTTTGTTGTCATGGTGGACTGAGTCCTGATTTACAAGGAATGGAACAAATTAGACGTATTATGCGTCCAACTGATGTTCCAGATACTGGTAATTTTTCTATTATTTAGTTTAGAGGGGGTATGGGGTACATATTTAATAAGATAGCTATACTGAAATAAATATCTCACCAAAATACTCTCAGTCTAATATGATATTTATATATTATATATCATTTCATAAATAATAGCACTATTTTCTGTCAGATTCAATTTTCTGAAGAAACGCTTATAATTTCTATGTCAGTTTGTAATGTTAAACAGTAAACAACTTTTATGTCACAAATAATGCTTTAAGTGTTTTATAGGATTTAAAGATCAATCAATATTGTCACCATTGTTTTTTTAATTACCTTTCCAGAATGTTGAGTGATTTCAAAACATACTTAACAATTTTATTCAGTCATAATATTTTAATAGTTTGTGATAGAGGTCCAGTATTAGGATTAGCAATTTTCAGTTAGATATATTTTTTTAATATTTGGGCTATAAAAATATTATTTTATTGTTAGTTTTTCTGTGAGTAATAAATCAGAGCATCGGATAGTAAATTTGAAAATAGTTAGTTCTATATTTTGTAAAAACTAAAAATTGTATATTTATCATTTTGAACTAAGATATTTCCACATATTTATCACTTACTATATTAGATACAACCATTGTCTAGAGTTGAATAATTAGTGAGAAATTAACTTGGTCCTGAACAATTTTGCATTTATGAGAAAAAGTATAAACCTGTAAATGAAGTAGATTATTTAAATTTAAATAAATATATCCTAATTTTTTTTTATTAAAAATTATATTTTTATTATCTTGTTTTAGGTTTATTATGTGATTTATTATGGTCTGATCCGGACAAAGATGTAACTGGTTGGGGGGAAAATGATAGAGGTGTTTCTTTCACTTTTGGTACAGATGTCGTAGCAAAATTTTTAAATAGACATGACTTAGATCTCATATGTAGAGCACATCAGGTAATTACAATTATACATTTTTAATGACGAACATTAAAATTGATCTAAATTTATCTTAACATTTTACATTCTAGGTTGTAGAAGATGGTTACGAATTTTTTGCCAAGAGACAATTGGTTACATTGTTTTCCGCACCAAATTATTGTGGAGAATTTGATAATGCTGGTGGAATGATGTCTGTTGATGCAACACTAATGTGTTCATTTCAAGTAAGTTCTTAACTTTGTAATTTAATCATAATAGTATTTATTTGTTATCCATACCAAAATAGTTAAACTATCATACTTATTAAAGAGGGATTCACGACTTAGAGTGTTGTGTCGAGTTCGTGTATATTAAACACTGGTAACAAAATGTTGGTCATACGTTACTTACGTATTAAATAAACAGAAAATGACATGACATTGTGAGTTATGAACCCTCCTTAACATCATTTTTTTTATTTCTTAAATATTATATTTATCATTCTCAATTAAAAAACCTTAATAATAATTACAATAGTAGTTTAATACAATTATAAAGGTTATTAGCTATTATTAGGGCTAGGATTGCTGTGCATTAGCATTTTTTTTTCTTTAGTCCAATATTACATTGGTTGTCAGTTATATCCGTGATTGGGCCCATACTGAATTAAATAGAACAATTTTTAATTTGTATGTTTTAATCAAAATGTGTATAATTACATATTTAGAGTTTTGAATATTTTTTTTAATAGATGTCAAATCAAATTTATCTAATGAAGATCTGTAATTATTGTTTTATTTATTGTAAATATACTATTTATAGAGTTGTAGACTGGTTGTTTATATAGTTATATGTGTATTTACTATTTTTTGCAATGTAGATACAAGGTTTAGTATAACAATTATATAAATAATTTTGAAAAATGCCTAAGTTCAAAGTGAAAATGCTAAGTCATAATAACTTTTGATAAGAATACTCTAATGACATTTTCAAAACTAATAATATAAAACTTATGTACAAATGTGTTATTTGTGATTAATGTATGTATATAAAAACTATAAGAATTAAAAATATTTATTTTTATTGCATATAAATCCTAGCCCTAAATATACTTTTTTTGTGTAGAATGTAGTTTTTCTAATAAAATAAAAGATTAATACGATTATTAATCCACCCCAATCAATATACTTCAGTAAATATCAATGGTCTCAAGTAAATTTACAAACTTGTTTTTTCCAGTATTTTTTTCTCAGACAATGAGTCTTAAAAATCATAATATTTGTCTTCAAATATGTGTTAAAATTGACATTGTATTTTTAACCCTATAATAGTTTGTTACTCTTTAACTCCTCTGGAATAATTACATAATAATATATTGATATTTTTATTAATGCTTTAAGTATTTTGAGTAGTTGTATAAACTTACCAATTTCTAATCTTATTAAATAATTATTAGAGGATTCTTCATTCTCGTGTGATGTCACGATCTTGAAAGATACGTAAGATAAAAAATTAACATTTAGCAGTTTTCTATAGCTAAATTAGTTTTAATATAATTTTGATTTTTTCCTATTTTTATACTTAAAGGTAAACAAATTTTCCATGTTTTGTAAAGTTTTTTTTTTGTATAGACCTTAATTTTGAAGTGAGTTATGCATTAATGATTTGTATTACAACATGTTCCTAAATTAAAATATGGAAAAAACACCCACTGAATATTGTTACCTTAGTTACCTAAGTTCAAATATGGGTAAATTAATTTTGTATCAAATCTAACAAAGCTTAATAAGAACCTAAATACAATTTTTATGTTACACACTTCCAAGACAGAGACAACACATGCAGATAAGATATAATATTAAGTCATAGTTTAACTGTAGTTTTACTATTTTATATTGAAATATTCAAAACTTGGTATGATTTTATTGTATTGTTGGTAATATAACTAATTGATTATGATTCTATCCTTTAAGATTTTGAAACCATCTGAAAAGAAGGCGAAGTATCAATACTCAGGATTAAACTCTGGAAGACCGGCTAGTAATACAACTGCTGTGAAAAAGAAATAAATCGTATTTGATTGAATATTGATTATGAACAACTAAACGAGGTTGTTCTTACTCTAATAACTCTGTGCTTGAATAATTTTACTTTAAAAATTTGGACTTTCTATATAATAACAAATAATGTTATATATATATGTATGTGTGTGTGTATGTATGTATATATATAAATGAGTGTGTATGTATGTATGTATGTATGTGCGTGTATAAAAAAATTATCTTTAACAATCATTTAATAATGGTTACTTGTGACCTAAATTATATAAAGTCCTAAGTATTAATGGATTATTCGATTTTAATTTTATGTACTTTGTATATAGATAATCACCATTTTATTTAGTTAACAAATTTAATTATGTGTAGGCATAGATTATAATTTAGGTGTAGCCTTGTTTGTGTTATGAAATATATATGCATATATATATATGTATTAACATTATTGTTATTGTTTATTCTTAAAATATTGTCATTACTAATTTAAAAGTAGAAAAAAATTATTAGTACCCTAGTGTTTAAATAAATTAACCGTTTTTAAAATTTGTGGTAAAATATCGAGTAGTTCCACATTTCTTTTATGACCCATTTATTATTAATTCAAATTTTATTTTCAAATATTACAGATCTCTTATTGTAGCCATTCTTAAAATTGTACATATTAGTACACTTCAGTAAATAGTAGTCTATAACAAATTACTCAAATTGATACTATATTAAATATTAAACAAAGTGAGTTTATTTTTTATTACAGTACTATTGATAGTATTTATACCATAAATAAACAACCTCTGTATTTTGATTTGATACTAGTTTTTTTTAAATTTTCATAATAGTTGTACAGCTTAAGAATTCAAATTTGTGGGTGTCACATTAACAACTGATACGTTAACATAGCAGTATTTTCAGAATAATAGTTCTAGGACTTTATTTGTATAAAATAATTAAAAACTGAAAGGCTTCAGAGCCACATTTTACGTAGATCTGTTATAGTTAAAAATTTTAAAAATAGAATGTTATTGTTACTGTATATTTTTTTCAGTGAATAAAATAATTAATTATCATTTACTAAAAGAACCTTTGCTAAAAATTTTTTTTAAATTATGTTATGAATAAATAAATATATTTATTGCTCTACAATATTTGAACGAATATTTTATAATATATATACTATCAAAAAATTGTATTTTTTACTTATATGAAATAGTATTGCATTCATTATATACTTAAAAAATAATAAATGTGAAAAATGTCATTTGATATCTATATTAAAATAATTTATCTCTTATACAAAATTAGTCATAATAGTTACCTAAGGACTACCATATTAATTTTAAATTAAAAATATTTAATATATATTGTATAATATCTGATTTATATAAAATAAGTTTGTCCATTAGTAATGACTAATGAAAATGATTATTAAAATACTAAATATAAAAATATTATCTATAATCTATATAAATTGTATAACCGTAAAATTATTATATTTTATTATGAAGAAATATGGTGATGTGATGAATCAGTCAGTATCTTTAACATATAATTATTTAAATGTTTATAATATTCTCTTAAAAGATAAGAAGGCTTAACTCCTTATTTTTAATCAATTATTCATATGATTTTGTGTTAAATAATTATTGATAAATTATTAAAATTGAGAAATTAATGCAACCAAGTTAACAATTTTACTTTGAAGAGATAAACATTTTGAAAATATCAAAGAATTATAGGTTTATAATTTTATGAAGCATATAATTATATAATAAACACATATTATTAAATTAAATAATCTTATTTTTAATAATATTGGCTGATTCAAGTTTTTAGAATCACTGTTTAGTTAGAATAGAAGTACAAAATTAAAAATTGTCATAAGTGTTTTCTAGACGTTAACATTCTTTTTTGTTTTGCACAAAAGCATTGTGTTTCACTTGCACAGAATCCCAAAATTTAAAACAAACCCCCCATGTCAAAATGGTTTTGATTTTTGATATGTTTATTTTTTTGTAAATATTTCACAATATTATAAATCACTTATTTTTATTTAAAAATTGTAACAATGTTTAACTATGTTAGTGGTTGTTTTGAAAAATATGACTAATAATAGTTTATATTTATTTAAAATGTATGTTTCATTGAATTATAAGGTCTATAAACTATTGGTGAAAATATTTAATAAGTTAGATCATACTTGACCAGAATATAGATCCAATAATAATTTCACAAAACTCAATTTTTAAATGTTTGTTTCTATTCATGTGGGCTGTGATTAATTTTTTTTTTTATTAACTTGACTGGATGGTACATAGGTAACATAATGTAAGCTAAGAATGCATTTGTCAGATCATAATAAATAAATTCAATTTATTTTAAATATGACTATTAACGTTGAAATAATTTTTCAGTCCCTAAAAGTTCTCCAAAAACTTATTTGTAACATTTAACTTTTACTGTATTGTCCCTTGAGTTTTTTTTTTGGAAATTCTGCCAATTGTTTCTATCAAACATTTTTGCAATATCTTTTTAATATTTTACATCAAACTTTTTAAGTTGTTTTTAAATTGTATTAACTTTTTTTAATAGCCTTATTTATTTTCATAATATTTCAAGTTGCAGTGATCTTTCTTCATCATATTAATTATGGTAATAATTTCTAGTTTTTTTTTTATTACATTTAAAATAGTGGAGACCATAGTTAATCATTTTCCCCGTCTTCATTTCATTAGGTATTAATGTAATATACTGAACAATGTACGATTATTTGTGATAAAATCTTATATTTTATAATTCCAAACTAATTTTTCTTATTATTTCCTGGTTTGATAAACCTGGCTGTGCAACTAATGAGAACCATAACATTGTTTATATGTTTGATTTGAATTGAAATGTTGTGTTGTATATAACAAGTAACATAATTATCAAATCAAGATTTTTTTTTTATTAAATGTAACATTAATTTGTAAATTTTTTTTAGTCCATACAACCTAGATATTTGTATCACCATATGTAAGTAGGTACACAAAAATATAAATTAAGGAGACCAATTGTGTTATAACATGGTTATGTGTACATTGTATGTGGTTAAGTATATTGGTAAATCCAAATTTATCTAGAGCATAAATATGGTGTGGAACAACCACAGATATAACATATAAATAATAAATGTATTATGTATATCTGCGGAGATAAACACTGCAGAGATATCACTATTTATTTATTAAATGTGTTTTATATATTAAACATAAATATCTGTGGCTGATATCCAAAAAGAAGAGGCATCAAAATAACTATCTGTGCATCATAATATAACCACTGAATAATTTTTCTGTGATATAACAACCATGTAAATGTGATTAAAGCTCTGATTTCTATGAGCTTAAGAAATAATTAAACTTGTTTACCCAACTACCCAAGACACTTCTTTCGTGTATTTGTTTGTGAACTTTCTTTCCGACTAGAGGTACTCAATTTCTTCACCAACTTACTATATTGTAAAAAAAATCAGTACCTACAGTAAAGTCCATCGCATTTTTTTTTTAAACTACCTATGCATTAATATTCATTTTTTTGTACCTAATATTTGAGAACAATATAACTACTGCAATATTGCACTTTGACATATTAACTTCAACAGTGCTCAGCATAATATGAGTGTAGAGTATTAAAGAAAGTCGAAACGTAATCTCTAAAAAAAAGAAGTCGAGAAAGTGTTACGGCACTACGTCACTACGCCAGGCATGTAAAACACCCGGCACTCGGCTCATTTTTTTATAACCCTCACCCTCGGATAACAGTGTAAATAAACAATTAATTGAAAAAAAATTGTAAAATTTTAATTTTCGTGTCGCCTATGAGAGGTATACAATATACATTATTTAATGTGTTACTTTTGTGATCAACTGTAACTGAATTTTGTATAGTATTGTAAGTAATAATTAATACAATTAAAAACGTGTAAGAAATGTTTTTTTTTGTGTCTCGCATTGTAAACTATTCAATATATTTGGCATTCTAGCAATCTAGCCCAATTACTACTTTTACATGACATGTCTGATCTAGTCGTCAATACAAAATCTATTTTATACTACTGTTTTTGGATTACAGCAAATTGGAAATTACTACCTAGTGTCTATGTGAGTAAAAAATGAGAAAAACAGACGTTCGTTGTCAACTTGTATTGCATTAATCATCTCGTGTTTAAAGAACATTATTTCATAAATGTGTTACTATATGCACAAATATTTAGAAATAGGTAGATGACATACCTAAAATATAGGTAGGTAGGTAGGTACACAATTTGTATGTACAGTTTTTATTTTTAAACTCGTCTTTGTAGTTTTCTATCTTATAATTATGTTAGTACCTATTAGTTATAACTTATAACGTAATATGTTTTAGTTACTTAGATATTATTATATTTATTTCAACGTCTGCGGTTGTAGTATTGTATTATTGTAACATTGAAAAAACATCAAGTAGGTACATAAAAAGAATTAATTTAATTAGTAAATATGTTAATATAATAGGTATATTATGAATTATGATCAATGTATCCATATTTATAATCCGTCAGTTTTTAAAAAGTAAAAACGCATGTCTTGAGTGTTTAGGTAATTGGAACCTAAAGGCTAAAATCGACAAACATTTTAAATATTTGTTTTAAACATCTTATAGAATGAGTTTTTACCTTTGTCAGTCGATCTGCCACAAATCGAGATCATATTATTATCATTGGGTGTGATATATTTTAATAACTTACAATATATTATACTCAACGATATAAGGTATCATATTATGATGTTACGTTCTCTAGCTTAAGTTATTAATCTTGTACAATTATTGAGTATTTTCACTAAGCGTCAAGACCCCATATATTATTATCTTTGGTTTATGCTCGTTGCCTCGTTATCATTAAATAAATAAATGTATTATAATCTATTATCTACTAGGTACTCGACGACGACCGATTTAATTTTCATCGGCCAGTTGGGCAACACCCGTTAATCAGCCCCACCCAGCCTGCACCGAGTAAAACATCTGTAATCTATGAGTCTGAAATGTTTAAAAAAAATAATTGGCCAATTGGCGCCCCATGGCCATGCGCACGAGTCGGCATCCGAGTACGGACTACGGACTATATAGTATATAATATGCAACTCCTACAACTTTCGATCCTATACTTATTATAGTTAAAGTTGGATAATTAGATATAAATTATGCTACATAATCTACATGAATACACAATATTATGTTGATAAGTCGTCAGTCGTGACGTTAACAAAGTCGATAATATTGAATACGCATATACGCATGTCCATTTTCCCACAACTACCGCTGGCCACTGGCGCCTACCGAGTGTTTCTTATTTCTTGTCAGTGTTTAGTATTCACCATTCAATAACGACGGTAACTATATTGTTGGCAGCCGGCAGGTACCTCGTCTACTGAATTTCGTCATTTCGGTTTGTGTAGTTTATTCATTATAATATAGGTATTTTTTATCGTTCTACTGTCGTTCAGTACGACCATCTTTTGCTATGCGCCTGTGCTATGTGATCACTAAGGTAAATTATTATTTATTTATTAGGTATCCGTTACATTATTACCGTTTAGACACTATAACAACATTGACGTTTAAATAAAGTAGTTCACTACCGTAAGAAAATAATTATCTGCGTGCTGTGTGGAGAACGTCGGAATTTCTCATCATCTCTAGATTTTACCACGTAAGTAAAAGTAAACATAAACAGATAAGCTTCTACGTATATGATAATATAACCGTCTCTATAATATAGTTCTTAAATAGAAAATTGATGGACGGCAGATATTAACCTTTAAATAATATTATAAAAACTTGAGAGTATAAAATATAATAAGTAGGTACCTATGTGTATCTTGTATTCACTAATTATGCACATTCCACAGAAAAAAACTCACTTATTAATCTATACGAATGAATTACTCATATTATTTATTATAAATACCGATTACCGACCTAATTATTTAGTCATAGACAATAGTACCTATATGGCTGTACCCAAAAGTTATTATGAGTAGGTAAATAAAAAAAATGTATAGAGTATAAAAGAGTATCGATAGGTGTTTGTCTATCTTTCGCCAGAGTACAAGACTTAAACTTACATTTTTAAATTTTCGAACGCTTTTTTTTTAAATATGTTCAATGAATAGTTACTGTGATTTACTTAAGTGTATTTAGCAGCTTAGCACAAAAGAATAATTTGTAATAATGATATCACTCTGTCACTATCAATAAAAATATTATAAACTGTATTAAAATTAAATTGGTCTTTTTTACATGGTTTTTGTATAGTACCATACTACCATACTATCTATGTATCGTGTATAAATTTTTTTTTACTACAACCTACTTAAAAAAATTACAATTCAAAGATAACAAACCAAGTAAATAATAATACCCATAGGTATTTAATTATATTATAAATTATAATTTATAATGATGCTATACAACAATAATCGATTTTTTGAATCGATCTCTGATGTACCGATCTTTTGATAAATCGTTTTGATTTGGCAAGAATCGGCTATTTGTCTTATAAGTTTATAACTTTTCAAGTAGGCACCATGATATAATTAACATTATAACATAATGTTAATTATATCATGGTAGGCGCCTAAAGTCTTTTCCGCGCGTTGATAGCTGCCAGGCTTCCATTCTGAACCAACAGCTGATACACGCTCGTCGCTCGTTGTCGTTCCAAATATTATTAATTGTTATAATATTAATATAGTCATATATTTAGTTAGGTAATTTTTTTTTAAACACCAGTCCCTTATTATATGTTAAGACAATAAAGCGTGAATCAATTTTATTAATTTCGATTCACTTTCATGAATCGTCCACTACTACAGTTGTAGGCAAGCTGTAGCCTACATCCTACATGCTACGTCTTACCATGACAAAATAGATGTATTAAGTATTTTGTCGTGCTTTTTAAGTCTTAATCCCTATTAACTCAATTTGTAAGTTTGACTCCAGAAGTTAGAATCGTACTCCGTAACCTGATTGACAAGACGTTAGCAACGTGTTTTCTAATTTTATGTTCTGAAATTATATGTTAAAAATATAGATGTTAGTAGGTAGTGTCTCAATTTGGTGTTAAAAAGTTGGTTTAGTTTTTAGCCTTGTGACCTAGGTCTTAGGCGCTATGACATGCTATCGATTTTTCCCTTGTAGCATCGAATCTGCCAGTATCGATTCCTCCATTAATAAACACCATAGAGCAATAATAGGATTCTAGCATATATCTGTTAACATGTTACCTCTTAACCTAATTAAAACATATTGTATTTTCTTTTGACTTAATTAAAAAAACTAATGTTTTTAGAAATAATAACTCAAATAAATAGGGTCTTTCATAAAAATAGATGTATTATTTTAAAAATTTACATACATACAGAACAGATTATATCCATACGTTAGGTAACCTACCATACGATACAGTTATTGATAATTTATCAAATATTAAAATAAAATAAAAACGTAATATTATTATTCATAAATCATTATAAATACAATACAACATAATATGTACACGATAATACAAATTAAATTATTTTTATACAGGTATTTCATATTATACTTATTTTTAATATAGCTATGTAAGTAAAATTAAACTAAAATTTTTGTTTGGTAAGATTATTTTTTCCCTGGTTCGGTGGCGAAATATAAGTACCATATCCTAGTATAGTCGGTGGGGCCAAAATGCATTTATTTTCACCCTTTCCCCTGCTCGTTCGCACGGTTGAGACCGTTTTCGACCAACATTGTACCCTTACCCTTCCCTTTTCGATCAAACCAAAAAGTTTAGTATTTATTTTATGTTGTACCGTTTTTTAAAAATATATTACAATATTAGGTATTTATGCATGATACATTTGTATACTACCTTTATGACATCAACGTACAAACAATAAATATGCATTATGATATTTTTAATAATGTCTATATATTATATTATTATCTATACAACCAAAAATGAAATACTCTCCGTCAATAGAATTTTTTTTTTTAATGTTCGAGAATTAGTCTATACATTTCATGGAAAGAAAATTTTAAAAAGTAGCCCGGAAAGTTTGAAAATTCATAGAAAACTGAGTCCTTTTTTCAATACGATTTTCGGAGAATTTTTCTATACCTAAATATGTTTAAAGGCTAGTAATATTTTTTTATTAACCATTTAGCATAACTGATTTTATATAACTTATTCGTTTTCATAGTTTATTTATAAACAAAACCATATATTATATGATTCATAGATATTCCCCACAGAAGAGAAATATCGAGTAGCACGCTGCACTTGTAATATTGGTTTAGTACCTATTTTGTTTATAAATGCTTGTCAGGTTACATATAACATGTGTAATTGTTACTATTTATTACGATTGAATATAATTATTTTAGATTCTGAGCGAAGCGATGAATGTATTGATTTTACAATGATGTGTGTTTTTTTTTTTTATTTTTTTTTTTATTTTTGTGTCTGTCATCACCTTTTAGGGCAGTAAAACTGCTTCGATTTTCTTCAACAGCAACTTTTCTGATAGGAAAGTGAATCTAGTTGGTACTTTGGGGGGGTCAAAAGTAAACATTACCCAGTAGTTTTCAAAAGCGACGTGAAAAACAAAAGAAAAATTAAGGAAAAACGGGAATTTTTACGCAAAATCGATTTTTGTCAAAATTGATTTTGGTTTTTGGTGTAACTCTAAAGCAAATGACCATAGATGCATGAAATTTTCACTGGTTGTTTATATTTGCATTTTCTATACACGATAAAATTTTGAAAATAATTTGACTTTTTTTGAACGGTTTACGGACATTGTCAGTTTTCAATTTTTTTAGTTTTTTTTTCTATAAATATCAATAAAATTTTATTTGTTGGTTAAAAAAGCTTGAAAATTTAATAGAAGGCTCCTAGTATATTGTTTCAAAGGCATATGAAAAAAATTAAAAATCGTTAGTCACAGTTTTTATTTATAAGCATTTAAAGTTCAAATCTTGACAAAATACGGAAAAATCACGAAAATTAGCAAATTATTTTGAGTTTAAAATTCGTAAAAATTTTTCTTTTGAAATCTAAGGTTTGAAAATGTAATACAAGATTCCTCATAAGTTTGTCTACCTTTGTAAAAAAAAAAATGTCTACTAGAAAGTCAAATTAAATTTTTATGAGCGTTTGAAATTCATATTTTTACAACATTTGATATTCACTCGATTTCTCATGTAACGATTTTCTGTTTTTGTTGTAATTAAAAAACGAATGGCTGTAGACACTTGAAAATTTCACTGAATGTTGATATTAGCATTTTCTAAACACGATAAAATTTTGAAAATAATTTGACTCTTTTTGAGATGTTTACGGACATTGTCAATTTTCAATTTTCTTAGTTTTTTTTTCTATAAATACCAATAAAATTTTATTTATTGGGCGAAAAAGCTTGAAAATTTAATACAAGGCTCCTGATATATTTTTACAATAGCAATTGTAAAATATTTAAAATACATAGGCACAATTTTTTTGAATAAGCATTTAAAATTCGAATTTTGACAAAATTTATCAAAATCTCGAAAATTATTAATCACTGTAATTAAAAATTATAAAATGTTCAGTTTTTATAACTAAGGATTGAAAATTTAAAACAAAGATTCTCATAAATAGTTCATACTGTAACCAAAAAATCTACAAAATACGGTTTGTTGTTGATGTATAACGCATTTAACTACCAAATGCCTAGTGGATATTGAATGTTCTGATATGATTAATTTGGAATTTATTATATAAGTCAATTTTTTTAAAAAATATTTATGTTCATATACCTAGACTGACATACCGCCTCCGCTCAGAATCGTTTTTCTTATACAATGATATTATATCATTGAATTCAAATTTAATACCATCCATTATACAGTGACCCACTTGTAACCTACTGTACAGCAGAGCGACATCCACTTTTTTATTTATAATTTTGATATTTGGTCACTATATTTTTTACCCACTGCCCAATGTGGCTAATTTAAAAAAAAAATGTTTGTTACGGTTTGAACGAGGTTTTTATGGCATGAAAAATTGGAAAAGTTGCCCGAAAGAGGTCCTCACACTAGGAATCTAGGATTTAGATATTTACGATGAAAATTGAAAATATTGTTTATAAATGGTATTGCCATCTGTTATATCTTGCAGATTATAATATAGTAATAGTAGTAGAAATAATTAGTTGACATAAGTATTTATTTGTACTTGTTTTCCATAATGCTATTGGTTACTCGACTAAACATGAGATAAAAGCATGCATCAAATCGAAAACGGCCATGCCCGTTCACATATTGGGTACCCTACCTATTAACATGGATGTTTCTAGAGTTAAGACACAGTGTTTTTTCATTGAAACATTATAAAATATTATGTCAGTGGTAACTGCAATCCGGAAATTATAAGCCTCTGGGAAACAGCACATTTTTCCGTGTTCAAGAATCAAGGAAACTATCAAGGTGAAATAGTTATGGTCATAAATTGAATTTTGTTCAATCCCTTGCTTAAGAAAGTGAAAGACATCCGTCGTGTATTTAATATAAAGGTAGGAAACTTCGCGTCTTTTGATCGCCTAATATTTTCAGATGAATAGTAATCATAGATAATAATATTATATATGTATACATATCATACATAAATTAAGGGGATTTTTTAGGATATTATTTAAAGTTTTTAGGTCAAATCTATTTTCGATATTTTTAAGGGCATTTAAATCCGAGCCCTATTTATCAATAAATTGTGACCATATACCTATTGAATATTTATTTCATCAAAAGTCATTCGATTCTATCGAGACAGTAACACACTGTGGTCTATATAAACATTCTAGCCTACTCGGCGGGGGCGCCTGCAGAAATATAAGCTGACTAAGGGAAAGCCAAAAATGTCTGATATCATATAGCAGTATAGCACATAGGTACAAGGTACTATTTTTTGTTCCTACAATTGATAACAAGTTTAATAATAATTAATAATTAAAATTGACTTTTACGTCCATGCTACCCGCAGTCTAAGAACCATTTAATCTATTCGTTGTAAGAATTAAGAACTGAGAAGACACTTTGTGTTTTCGAAAAATTGTGTGCTTGTGGCCTTGAACATGGAAAAATGATATAGTACAACTTACCACGGTTATAGAATAATATCTTTAAAATTAAACTCGTCATATTATGTTGATATAGAGGGTGTTTCTGAAATAGATAAGGACATAAGGTCACTAGTATACATGTGCGTACTCACTGTGATGGCCCAATTCGGTTTTTTTTCCATCTTCAAAGTCTGGGTTTATACAAGTTATTTTTATAATATTATCTTAAATGTAAAAATAAACACTAATTATATTTTTTGGAAAATTCTCATACGGATGGAGGCGTCACAATGTCACATTGTTTTTGCTTTCGGGTCGCCGACTAAAAAAGAAGTTATGTGAGTATGTGACACATCGATTTGTATGAGAACACTACAAGATAACCAGATTAACTCATCACTCATCAGAAATCTTAATGCCAATTGTATCGATGAACACTGAGGAAAATACTATCTTTAACCAACAAACATTAGCAGAAGTTTTTTTAACTGAATAAACCTTTTGAAATTGTATACTGTTAAACCCTAGGATAGGTCTGAGGTTGTAATGAGTAGCGACTAGAAGGGGGGGGGGCAGTATAATAATTTCGCCCCAGGGCGCATATATTCTAAATGCGCTACTGACAGTGGTGGTGGTTATTTGTTTTCGTTTAATAATTAATGTACATATACATAAATGACTTAAAATTAACACGGTGTTGTACATTGTCAACTAATTAAAATGATGATGAGTGAGGGTTAACACTTTAACAGAGTTTTAAATGATCGAATTGATTGCCACTCATTAAATTAATGTGTTTTAGGTGTAACGTTCAGCTTACTCTATGGTTTACCTATATTATGCTATGTGAAACTCAGTCACTATGTAGTATGTACTATGTTGAGGGAAATGCTGAATGGGGCAACAATAAACGAAAAGTGACTAAGAGAAACTGCAGCGATTTATATTGTAGGCGCTTGGCTTATGCGGCGGGTTGATTATTGATATTAAACTTATAGATACCGTATTGTACACTCATCACTGAACCAAAACAATTGAATAACTGATAACCGGGATTTATTAACCATAATATCGTTACATCTCTTGTTAGTTTCTGTATCGCGTTATCGCCTAAAAGCTTTTGTACGAGTTAGAACTATGTTATATATGTTGACCTAAAACCTAAAAATGTTTATTTAGTGAAGTTCGGAATGCCATATTCTATATCCATAATCAAATGTCAATGATTGAGTAAACTTTAAAAAACCGATGCGACTAATTTAAATATTTAATGTAGGGGGGGGGCATTATTGAAAGTTCCAGGTGTTCAAATTTAGGTCATATTCATGATTTAGTCTTTTTTATCAGTTTAAGTTTTATTATTTTTTATTCTTATCGAATCTATTTGACGTGTTTGAATGTTTATTATTTTATGTTTTATTTTTATATTTAGGGGGAACCCGAGGCAACATAGGCCATTGGCTGTGGGGTGGCACGATAGGGCTGTGTTGGTAGGGTTGTAACACATGTTTGTGTATGTGTGGCAAGAATAATATGTCGCTAAAAGTCATGGGTGGTCAGTGACCATTGGTCACCCACACATCTCGAGTACAGTCATCTCTACACTCTAGCATTACCAGCGTGTATAGCGCGTATAACTGAGTGTAGACACCGCGCCACCATTTTGTATCATACTATATTGTTCGAAGTTAATACGTAGTTCTGCATTTATTTTTATTTATGAAAAAAAATTAATTAGTCGGGAATTTATTAGTGATGTTGGAGGTACTAGGTACATTAAAAAATACTAGAGAATTTATCAGTCCACATCAATACTAAACATTATTGTCGGGCATCAACTGAACAAATATTAAATTGAATTATGTAGGTAATTTATAAATTTATAAATTCATAATATTTCAAATAATCAAAGTTTATAGATATTTTTTTTTTGAGATTTTTTTTACCTACTTACATTACCCTGCTGTGTGACATCTAATTAGGTACATTTAATTATAATGTTTAAATTACATAAACTGTATAAACTATTGAACTTATTAAACTTTATAAATTGTTTGTATCTAATATTAAATGTTTTATTTTAGACGACCAATTTTGAACTACTATGGAATCTATTAAAAGAGTGCTTTCCATACAGAGCCACGTTGTTAGTGGATATGTGGGTAATAAATGCGCTGTATTTCCATTACAGGTAATTCAAAAAATACAATTTACATATTTTAGAACATTAAAAATAATTATGGAACTTTTATCATAGATAATGGGTTTTGAAGTGGATGCTATAAATTCTGTTCAATTATCAAACCATACAGGATATAAAACTTATTACGGCCAAATATTAAACGAAAGTAATTTATGTAAGTCGTTTGTTTATTTTAGGTACCTGCAATAATTTTAAATTAATGTATATTTATAAAATACATTTTATGACTTTTTAGCGGAATTAATAAATGGTCTTGTTGAAAATGAATTGCATAATTATTCGCATTTATTAACTGGTTATATTAGATGTCCAATGTTCTTAAAGAAAGTTGCGGAAGTTTATAAAACATTGAAAAAGAAAAACCCAGATTTGATATATGGTGTGTATTTTGTTTGATTGATTATAAATATATTATTTCTACTTAAATTTAATGTTGCATCTGGTAAAAATTATGATGCTGTATTATACCATCATAGCTTCAATATATATTTTATATCTTGGTGGGTGGGTGGGTATATGGAACTTATATACATTTTTTCTCCTTACCAAAAATGAGTTTAACACGCCACTGGTTAAATGTACACTTCTCACGCATACAGGCTGAACCGATAAAAAACACCGCCTATTGGTAACAACTCGGTTCTCTGTTATTATCTGTCAACTACAAAATAGTTAAAGAATTTTCTTGACTTTGACGAATTTGGTCGAAATTTGAAATTTAAATGCTTATAAAAAAAAAAATGGTTATATTTTGATTATGAGAAAAAACTGTCTGGAAACTTCTAAGAAATTTCACGCTTTTTTACTCACAAATAAAATTGTTATAATATAATTAAATATTATCTATAAATGATCCAAAATAAGACAAACTTTTTAAAATTTTATCGTGTTTGGGACTTATCGTAATTCTAAAATAAATATTTTGTGAGAATGTCAAATCTTCATATTTATTTGTTTTTGAATTACAAGTCACTGCAAAAAAACATGACTGATTTTGTCTAAATATTTTTGTTTAAAAAAAAAAGGCTCGATTGTCTTGAATTTTTTTACCTCCAAAGTATAAACTTCATATAATTCTGAATGCATCAAATCTTCTTAAAGTTTTGAAGCCGAAGATCAGAGCATTTTTTGATTGGTACTGAAATGGTTTTACCGAATTGGTTTCCGTTTGACAAAGGTATTTTAGGAAGGTAATCCGAAGTGATTTCCATTTAAAACAGGTATTTATTAAGTTGATCCGAATTGGTTCCCATATAATTAGGCACATTTTCCTTCTCAATTATTTTACAGGCTTAATACTGTCAACTTTAAAGTAGGCTTGGTAAAAATGTGTTATGTGTGTTAAAAAAATTAAATATAATGTATAAAATTTAAAACGTTGATTTGGAAGTCAAACTGTTTTTATTTATACGAAATAAAAATTATAAAATAAAATGTATACAATTTTAAATCGTTAGTTTCCAAATTTGAAGCAAACTTTCTTTAAATATTCAATTTGTGTAAGTTTTTCATTAATGTACTCATTCATACAGTTTTTCAATTATTGTTTATTTCTTTCCTGTTTGCTGATAAGTTTTTTTGCATTATTTCTTCGAAATTAAAGATAACACCAATATAACAAATTATTGCCATTTTATTGTATATAGGTAGTATGGAGTGTAGGTACATTTATATTTTATACTTAATAATTTCTATTTTGTACCAATTAGGCATACATATGATTTGATATTGCAAAAGAATTATTAAAAATGAAGATTGTAACTATATGACCTGAACACAAACGGGAACCAATTCGGCTCAACTTAATATAATACCTTTTTCAAACAAGAACCAATTCGGTCACTCCCCATTTTTTTTCTACTTAATATAATAAACATTACACACACAGCAAAAACAACATCGTTGTAAAACCAATACTTTTATTGTTCCTCTCATAATTTAAAATAAATTATAAAATTCAGAACTATTGGAGTTATAAATTTTTTGAAGTCAATTAATTTACTCACTAAACATAATAATTCAAGTTAATTTCAAGGTTTTTAGTTTTGTGTAAGTCTGATTTGATAATCGACTATTTGATTATCGAGTATTGATTGCATAATATTATAGTGAAATAATAGTTTAAAATATTTATCTATATTTTAAAGTTTGTGATCCTGTAATGGGGGATAATAAGAAAATGTATGTTCCGAAAGAAATATTAGATGTCTATAAGAATGAAATTATACATTTGACTGATATCCTTACACCGAATGAATATGAATTAGAGTGAGTAAAATTATAATTATTAATACATTTTTTATATTGAATTTAATATCTGCATGTTTTCTTTTCTATTAGGTTATTAACTGGTACTACTATAACAACCCCTAATGACATTTATAAGGCCATGAATATATTATATGCTCAGGGTTGTAAGACAGTTGTTGTGTCATCTTCCAACATATCATCAAACTCTGTTATGAAGTGTATTGGAAGAAATTTCTCTTGTAAGTATTAATATAAATGACAAATGGATATAATAAGTATACATAAAAATATATTTTATATTCTTAGTTGAGCTAGAAATATAATGTTTTTTTCTTCTCAAATATTTCAATATATAGGTAAAGACATTTTTTGGGGGAAACACATTTAATTAGATTCAAGTGATTCAAAAGTTGCAAAATATCTTTATGAATTAGGCATTTTACATGGGTAAGGGTTATACTAATATATTGTTAGTTAGTACATTAGTTATGGGTATAATTCACTATTATAATGTTTAGTGTAATATTGTTATTTTATATTTTGATGACATTTCAATTTAAGATATTAAGTATTAAATGTGTATAACAATGTTATGTATAACATAACATATCTTACATATTTTTCAAAACTTGTTTTCGAATGTTAAAATTTTACTCACTAATCAATATCAACTGACTTTACAAAATATGTCATTATAATTTTTATTTTTATTAATTTCTAATTTTGATCATTAATAATTTATATATTTTGTATACCTATAAGTACTAATTTCTCCAAGAGGATGTGGTTGTACACAAACCAAAAGGTTTTGTACTCCACCGCAACTAACCAAATTTTTACACCTTGGCACTAGTTGTATCCGCAAAGAAACCATATTCCCTCAATGAATGAAGTATAGGCATTTCGTGCATGTTATATTATGCATTATACACAATGTTGCAACATTTCTAATAAGTATTTTGATATTTTATTAGATGAGGAATATGTAGAATTAGAAATTCCTATCATTGACCAATCCTTTATTGGTACTGGAGATTTTTTTACTGCTTTGTTATTGATATGGATGAATTTATCTAATAATGACTTGAAACATTCCATCGAAAAAACAGTTGCAACTATTCAAGCAGTATTAAAACGTACCATAAAATGTAATTATCTAACTAAAAATCAATTGAATTATACAATAATTGTATTTTAAATGAATACAAATGTGAATAATTGTTTTCTTTGATGATAGATACAAATGAAAATGGTTCAAAGGATCCAATAAGTAGTAAAGAATTAAAATTAATTCAGAGCTTGAGTGATATTCAAAATCCTGAAGTAACAATATTTGGTACTATAAATAAAGTTGTATAATTATTTTTTAATACATTTATTTATATATCACAATAGCTTATACAAATATTGTAGTTAATTATTAGAATATAATTTAAAGGAAAAAACTACATAATATAGTTGATATTAGGTAATGTACGAGAATCTGAACTATCAAATAAATTCATGAGCTTAAAATAAAATGTACCAATAATTTATTGTGAAAATTACCAAATAGTATTTACTACTTTATTGTTATACATAAATATATGAACTTGTTGAAAATATATGTCTTCCATATACAACTGTGAATTTTGAAAGCTTCCAATAATAATAAATTGTACTTACTGTTTTTAACCAGTTACAAATTTGTATATTGTATTGTTATATGATAGAGAAAATCAAACTGTTTTATTAATCTACATAATTATATTATACATATTGTATTAATGTGTTTTATTTTAGTTATACCTATTAATATACCTTTTTTTTTAAAGTGGAACATACATTTGATTTATTTTATATAGGTATATCTGGTATAATGAATATGAAATTGTACTTATATTAATAAATGAAATTAGTATAAATTGTTGATCAAAATGTGTGAATGATTAATATAAATAGGAAATGTTAAAATCAGTTACGTACGTAACTCGTTATATAATATAGGTTTTTTCTCTATAGTTTAATAGATTTGTATGTGTACGGTTTATATTTTGAATTCATTTTTCAGGATATATGTATGGTATGTTTTATGAGGTTTTAAATGCATTTTATAATGTTTTTTACTGCATTAAATTCACAGCCATAATTATAACAATTAATGCAAATCAAAGTAAGATTTTCTTTGAAGTTACATAATATGTACAGTGAAACTTCCATAATAAGAAGTCTAGTCACTCATAAGCAACAAAAAAAATTGTATGATGGAAATGGAGTATGTTGTAAAATAGAATCGAGTAAATACATTTGGTTTTAATTTGTTTGAGTACTCAAAAATAATTAGATGTTCGTTATAATATGGAAGTTTAATTGTATTTATACTAGAAATTTGTAATCACGGACGACAGTTATTTTTAAACATATTTATTTTAAATAAATTCAGTATTAAGAACTACCTACCTACTATGGGTATTAGGCTACCCATAAATCATAATATCTCATTCTATGTGGATAATTTATAAGTACGATAGTCTATCCTGGCCCATGATAGTGGTACCTATACGCTATACATGTCTAAGATTTTGAAGTATTCTTTAAGATAACCACGAGCATATGATATTTAATTTCAGGGTGCTAAGCACTCTTGACACCCATACGATTAGTGCTAATGCTAATCTCTTAGAGTTATGTCTAGTTTTTGTATTTTGTAAAGTTAATTTTGTATTTCAAATACTTTAAAATATTATAAAATGGTAATGGTTAATTGTTTTAATATAAAATTTGGTCCTATTCAAAATAACACGGGAATAACTGCGTTTTGTTTGAACATAACAATTACACTATCACACGTTTTGAGTTTTGGGTGTTTTGACTTAAGAGGCAATAATACGGTATGAAGTGAATGACGATTTATAAATCGATTTAATGCCAAATAAAAATTCCTCGTGTATTTACTATTTTTCTGCAAGAAACGGTGTTTGGCTCGATTTTCAAATTTTTCGCAATACCGCGTTTTGAATTATCATTTGTCACTCTTCAATTTACTGTTTTTAAGAGGACGCCACCCATAAATTTGTTGTCCACTTGTCGTCCCCGTCTTACACACGTACGAGTTAGAACATTTTTGTTCACTAGTTTCAATAGTTGGCTGTTTTATAGTTTTGATATTATAGAGTGAATTGATCTATTATCAAAGTTTTAGGTAAGAACATTATTCATGCTTAAGCATCGGTGGATTTTTGGATATTTTAATTTTCAAGCGAGATATAAGTATTTTTGATTTGTGTTATTTCACATACCTACTCGTATCTTGCTTAGAAATGAAAATATCGAGAATTCGCCGACGCTCAAGCGTAGATATAATGTTCTCACCTAAAAGTTTGATAATACTTAAATTCATTCTAATATCAAAACTAACAACGGCATTCTATTCAAGCTAGTGAACGAATATTTGGTATGTCGTGAGTTGGTAAGACGGAGACAACAACCGCGTGGGTAGCATCCTCTTAAGGATATCAAAAAAGTTTAGTAGTCAGATTACTGATTCTGGGAACATAAACATGGGATATTCATACTCTGAATATTTATACTTCGTTATGTTTCCGATTTACAATTAATTGGTACCCTATGCTCGTTTTAATTATACCCACATATTTATTTTTAGTACGAAATATATATATACATAAAGCCAGATTCCCATGACTGGTGTAGGTACTTGCTAAATACGCCAGTAATTGTACATTCGGCTAGTGCACGATTAGGGTGTTCACACGATTGACGTACTTGACAGTTGACAAGTAGCCAAGTACACTATTCCCACAGCTGGCTATTATAGAAAATATTGGTAGGGATTCTATATTTTAATAATATTTTAATATTTTCACTTATTGTTAGAACACTGAACTGTTATCGCGCAGCGCAAGTTAAAAACCGGCTCGTCTCGCCGCGCTGCCGGCATCGAAGCTCCAGAGCATCCTTCATCCCCTACTTATCGCCGCTGGCTGTCGCCGTTCGCGAGTACTTTCGGGTTCGGTCTATCTGCCGTTTATGTGCGGTCGAGTTGGACGAAACTCCTCGTGTCTCGCCAAGGTTTTTTTTTTGCTGGCAATCGGCCTACGTGCCATTGCTGTTTGGTTGCGTTTGGTGTACCTTTTTGCTGTGTGCATACTCCCCGTGCTTGCAGTCCAGCGAATAACGATCATATCGTGTGCGGCATATTTTGAGAGAGTTCCAAACCGTTATCATTCCTATAACCTAACCATAGTAATACGTTCAAAATAACTATATTAAACTTCAGAAATAATGACAAACTAAATAGAATAAAAAATAAAATATTAAAACAAACCATCATCAATGAAGGAGTCCCCCATTGGAAAATTACAGTTCATCTTTCGGAGGCTCAATTTGTGAATAGTTTGGAAGGCTGGATATTCATGAATTAAAAAGTTAAAGTTAAGTTACTCAGATTTTTTTTACACTCAACTTTTTTTAATTTCCATTAACAACAAATTATAGGAGGAATTTTGTGTTACATTTTCAAGTTTTTTTGATAAAACAACATTTTTTTTATCGATATTAATTAAAATTTTACTTTTAATCATAATCCACTTCTGTAAACGTCCAGCAAAGAGTACGTCTGAAGACTGTGAGTCTTGATAACAACCAAATATAAATTTATATTAATGTGTATTATTTTAATTAAAAATAATAATATTATAGTAAAATATTCCATACTTATATCAAAGGTGTAAATAGTAAAAGTAAATACTAATAAATATAAGGTGTATCATGTATATAAAATATAAAGATTAATAATATTATATTGTTTTAAATACTTCGTGCAAACCTAAATATGGTGTTACCCGGCGTATTGTATAGGCAAAATAGGTACGTATTAAACTTGGCGTGGTGAAACGAAGACGATTTTGATTGTTGCGTTGGTAATAAATATTTAATTGAAGTCTAAAAAGTAAATTTGAGCACCAAAGTAATATGAAAACAAACTTCTGCGTAAACATCGACTGAACACTGGTTATGTACCATATGTGCAGTTCACCATCAGTGGCGTACATAGCTATTTTCAATAGGGGGGGGGGCTTACGTTGAACAATTATATACATCAATTATCAATACAACAAAATATTGTACTGTTTAACAAAGATTTATTTTTTCATAGGACAATTTCTAATTTTCTATTTTTATTTCTCAACATTTACTCGTCAATGACTTTTTCAGGAGTTAAATTCATAGTTCATATCACTGCAGTATACCGACAACATGGTCTGGTGGTCAATCTATTTAATCTGTCTTGTGTAAATAATTATTTTTCAGTATAAAATGTAATGTAATATAGCCATATAGGTACCGTAAAGAGTAAAGACGGATAAGAAATATGTATGACAAAAAATTGTTTACCTCTTTCATAGTATTTTTCAAATAAGATTTACTCTTTTCAAATTTTTTAAAAATTCTTCCCGGAGTAGCTATTGATAACGGTAGCGTACATAGCATTTTCAACAACATATGAATACTCGAGAAAATCACGGAATTACAATGTTTTAAAAATTAATGCATAAATTCCATTTGGCTAATAATTTATACGAGCAAGTTATAGCTTCCACATTTTAAGTTCAGCATGAACGGTTGACAAATCATTTACATTTAAGGACTTCTTTTATTCTGATTCATCAAAAAATACTCATTTATTCTTTTAATTTTAGTTATACTTATTTTAGACAACTTAAAGTACTAAGTACAAATATTATTAAACGCCTGACTTATCAACAATTTTAACAACAAATTATTTGCTTGGTAGGTAATTGAAAAGTTTAAATAATGTAATATACAATATACACCCCCACATTTTTAAAATTATTTTTTTTTGAATCATATATATATATATCAACAAGTTCACGACAATGGCACAAAAAAATTGAGCAAATCATTATTTTGGAAGTTAAAACCCTTCCGAAGTTTAGGATTTCACGTGTGTATACGCATCATGCACGACACACTACTTTAATGCCACGTGGAAAACCGCGAGTTTGGAGACTGGAGCCACTATATACTCAATGACCGCGCCAGAGGGTGGCCTGTAGGGCGGACCACGGCCCTCTAAATTTGTCTTGGCCACCCCTTGGCCCCCTTGACAGCGTAATTTTTTTAAATTTAAATATAAATGTATTAATTCTAAAACAAATGTAATTTGTGTATTACTTATTATATTATAATAAAGTACACATTCGTAAAGTAAGTTTGTTGAAAATGATATCTAATGTTTAAGTGTTTAAATATTAAATAATATATACCTATATAACCTGAACTATATGATATTTATTATCAATTAAAATGAAAACCAATAATTATGTGAAAACTTAGTATCTTCACAATAAATAGTGTGTAGAACCCTCTATACCCTATGCAGAGCCTGTGAATGGGAAAAAGACCACGGATTGAGATTTTTTTGGCCCTATCAAATTTTCAAAAGTCACCAATGCCCCCCCCCTCCCCAAGATAAAATTCCTGGTGCCGCCACTGTATATACTTAATTATATATTATTTTAACTGGTTATCGAGTCTGTCGACCGTAGTCGGTATAGGTGAAGATAGCCACAATACTTGTTTTACTTCGACTAACAAAGTTCAGCTTACTTGTTAGGTCATCCGTCTGCCAAACGGCAGGTATGCTTTCCCCTCCCTCTCACGACCACGAAAGGGTCGACCTCCCCTCCCCTCTTTCCCATAGGTTGGATATTATAGCCCTGGCCATGGCCCCTGGGAGGTTAGGTTTGGGGGTTAGGGGGCTGAGCTGGTAGGCATAAGGAGCTCCTATATATGTTGTTTAATTGTTAGCACTGTTTTTTACTTGAGACTTAAGTAAAATAATTTGAACTCGGGGGTATTAACAAAATCTCATAATGTTGATATTTTCGGTTAGATAATAACCGATTTACCTCATTTAATATAATTATAAGCTTAATGTTATTTTTAATTAGGTACTCCGAGAATACGTTATCGTTGTTATCTAGTAATTATATTTACCTGCATATTTAGTGTATAATGTACATTTTTAATTGGCTTTCGATTTATATTTATTTAAATTGCATATTTTGTTATTATACTTATATTAAGTACCTACTTTCATTCAATATATTTAGGCTATGAGTTATAAATACTATTATAATTATTAGTTATTACTGAGCTATATTTGTTGAATGTTAATAAAAATAATAAAAACAAAATTTAATGTTGAGTATGCGCAATAGTGTGCAATACGTGGACAATACTGCTTATATAAGTTATGATCAGGGATGGGCAAGATACTCAAAAATCAGTATCACGATACCAGATACTTGGATTTGGAGTATCGATGTACTAGATATACTCGATACTTACATTTTAAATATTTAGATACTCGATACATTTGAAAAAATTAGTCATAGTCTACGATGCATAGGATTTCTTTTAAATTTTATTTCTACACGATTATGTAGGCTGTGAATCTAGACAAATGCATTTAACTTAAAATTTCCAAATATTAGTTAAGTACCCATAAATATATTATAATAAGTCAATCGTTAAATTAAATAAATAAATAATAATAAAAATAAATTATAGATATCATATCGAATAGGTTATGACACGACAAAAAACGTGCGGTATGGACGTAAAGTCCCATTTAACGTGTTTGTGTGGTGCGTCACGGTACACAGATATAACTTAATATGGCTAATAGGTTGAAAAATAATTTCGTACAAGTTGTGCTGCAATTAAATAATGGATTTATAAATTTAAATTCATCGCTCATATTATTTTACACATACTATACTATTATACTAAAACATAGTCAAACAGTCAAGGTTGGTAGATAGGCGAGTAAAAATAATCCTAAAAATTAATTTTTTTAAAGTATCGCATTAGTATCGAGTATGATGAAATATTTCTCTAAATCTTTTAAGTACTTTTGAACTGTTTTTGTGCAAAACCTATGTGCCTGTTGGCTGTTACTATGGAAGTATTAGAAGAACTGCAGGAATGGCATTTATAATTTCTAAAAACGTAAAATCGTAAAATTTGGAGCAATAACTTCCAAAATAATGATTTGTGCAATTTTTTGGCACCATCTTTCTTAACTCATTTAAATACATGTTTCAAAAAAAAATCAAAAAAATTGTGCTTTGAATAATAATATAATTAGAGCAACATTTTCTTCCAAAACCACTTGACCAAAAAAATGTGTATATATTTATTATATTAATGAGTAGGTAACTCACTACTCAGTAACCGAAAAGCGCCCTCAATCTTTTTATCTCTTATCGTTTTCCATACCTTCATTAATTGTCTAGTATTGTAACTTGTAAGGTCTAAGATTACTTTTGTTTCTGTGTTAAATGCTGTTAATATACCATAAACTTATAATTTAAGTTAGTACGCTCAGTGTTGGGAAAGTTCTTTTTAAAAAGGAACTCGTTCCTGTTTCTCGTTCCAACTGTAAAGAAGGAACTCGTTCCCGTTCCTCTTTCCTGTCGCGAAAAAAGAACGCGTTCCCGTACCTTTACACATTTTTTACGATTTAAGTGCTGGTTAATGGTGTTTTTTGCGAACAGTTTTTAAGTCAGAAATAATCGGACCGAGAGAGTTAACCGATTATTTCTGACTTAAAATTTTTTTCGGAAAAACACCATTGACCACCATTCAAATCGGTGAACTCACTTCTTTCTAAGGAACACCGATTTTTAACAAAAATGATTTGTCTTAGGTTTATTTGCAGTTATAATTCAAAAGTTGTATAGCGTAGACATGAAACTTTCCCCAGTATGAAGTTTATTATTTTGACTAAAAATGCACTCCTTCGCTCAGAATTGTTTATTATTTAATGATCAATATAAAATATAAATATATAATGTGAAGTATGAACATTGTCTATACTCTATGTCTACATAAATATAAATATTGCATTATTGCATATTATACATGTATATTAATATTACTATAGTATACAGTATTACAGTGTATACTATACACGATACATCACACATAGAGACATGCTATAGGACCTTATTGTTGAATAAAGTGATTCACATGAATACGTCGTTCCAAAAATTGATATCAATTTTACCGCACAGTTTTTAATATTTGGGTATTTTAATATAGAAATATGCTTCCAAAATTCCAATATAGAGGGACAATTGCTTATAAACTGCTTAAGACCTTCATCTTCTAATAACTCCAAGAGTTCTATTTCGAGATCCGCTTTATTTGTGATGATAGGATGTGATAATGGACATCCCTTTTCAATGACATTAACTAAAAATGGATTTTCTAAAAATCCGAATGAGGGTTTTAATGCCTTTAGGTCTCGAAATCGTTCTTCGAAGTCGGTAAATAGAAATTCAAGTTTAAGTACATAGTCGTCACAATTAATTTTTATTTCTGATTCTATCAGGCACGCTTCTATATTTTTTCTAAACATGAAAAGTGAGTAAAATTGTTTGATTGTAAATCTCGTATGAAAAGTTTTAGTTTATTTTGAAAACTAAATACTTTTTGCGCTAGGTCATTAACTAATTTATTTTGACCTTGAAGAGATACATTTAATGTTGATAAATGTTGCATGATGTCGGTGAAAAATGCCAAATCTCTTAACCAATTTGAATTTGAAAGTTGAGGAAAACTTTTATTTTTTTCTATTAAAAATACTTTGATTGGTTCTATTAATTGAAAAAATTTAGTTAAAATGTTATTGACCGACAACCATCTAACTAGACAATACCATGGGACATCATTAGGAATATCATCTTCTATGTCTTCTAGGAAGTTTTTAAACTGCCGATGTGTTTTTGCACTTGAACGTATGTAATTTACAATTTTTAAAACAACATCCATCATTATTTCATATTTCGTAATTTGATATGTTTATCGGCTGTTTGCTATCTTTATTACTTTTGTGGTATAAAAGTATAGATTAGATAATTTGGCTCTTGATATAATTTTATTAATACATGTGGCTCGCGTACATAGTCATGTTGGCCACCCCTGCTATAGGTTAAACTTTAGATCATATATATCTAAGGGTATATATCTAAGGGTTAAACTGTTATAGCCCATAGGAGTATAGCCGTATAGCCGTATAGGACATAGAGATAATAGTATAATACAACAATCTGTTTTTTTTTTAATTCAATTTATTTCCTATACTAAAAGATGGAAATGAAGAATGAAAAAAATAATTCATCAATTTACTTTAAAGTCAAAATGTATTTGTATATTATTTTTATTTATAATAAAGAAAAAAAAAATATTTTTATACTGACGTTTTGTTTTGTTTGAGAAGAACTAATTTTTCAAATAATGTATCTTAAATGAAAATTAATTTGATTCCCATTTGTCTACGACAAAAATATTATTATATTTTGGTTGTACAGATTATTTGTAAAACACATCAATATTTCGAGAACGTATTTCGTTTATTGGTCCATGGTGCTCTGAACCGCGGTGTCGACACGTAGTCAACCGACGGCGTCGCGGTTCAGTTTTGGCGCGGAAACACACTATAATATGCGCTTCATAAATACTGTGGCACTCAACGTGTAAAAAATAAACTATTTTTATCATTATTTGAGGAACGGAAATTTTCTTTCAAGTTCCTTAAAAATAGGAACTCTTTCCCTTTCCTATATTTTAAACAGAACGCGTTCCAAGCTTCGTTCCTATGAAAGGAACGCGTATGCTGCTGTAGTTTAGTCAACGGTTTAGACTTCTATTATAGTGACGGGAACAATCAAAAGAAAATAAACGAAATACTCGATTGTATAGATTACTATAAAAGTAATTTCGATATCTGTACTAATTAAAAAACAGTTGAATGAAAAATAACTTCGGGTGATTCTCTCGATCTCTCGAAATCAATTCTCTCAAAATATTGGCAATATATTATGATTTATGAACATTTCATTAGACTGAAGTTCTATACTACATTAAATAAGAAACTCCTAAATTATTTATATTATTATAAGTGAAGCTCGAGTAGCAGTAGTTTGCCGCCATTTCGTTTGGTTGGTTAACATTTCATTCATTAAACAAAATGTATTAGAAATAACATCGTTTTTAATTTTAAATTAAATAACAAATGTAAAATGATTAATGTAAAATATGTACTATATAAAAATCTGTGAGTTTAGTATGCCGCATGTCGTTTACTCGTATATGGACATTGATAATAAAGAATTTTTTTATTATCTATGCATGTGGAGTGAATACGTCTGATAACCATTACAAACATATTATTGTTATCTACATTGTATAACCATGATCACTAACCAGTAACCACTGGTACACTGACCAAAACCGAGGTTGAAGGTTGAAGGTTCCAATCGTGGCTTGACTGCAGCTCGTGTGCAATGCTCAGTGTACAAATGTACGATACAACAATTGTACAAAAAATATATAAAATGTTTAAATGTATACAAATCTACAATCATTTATTAAAATATCGAATTTCACTCAACCCAAATAATTATTAATTATTAAATAGTATTATCGTTGAACATTGGTGATAGATGAACGATGATTGATCAGCTGCAGAAGCACTCGTTACAATAGCAGTACAACCAACTACCAACAGAACTCGTAAGTATGATACATCTATCTCAATATTATTATTTTCATACTTAAAATAATGTTTAATCGCCGATAATCAGACATCAGTGTAGTTACAAAAACTATCGCTCGCTATGATACCTACGTTTACTTTTAAGTTATAATATTCGTTGGCTAACGAAGTCAAGATCCAAATTCCAAGTAAAAGTGCTGTTATTAATTGCCATTCAATTTTCGAAACTACCAATATTTCCAAATATTTGTAACATAAGCATTAATTTTTTAAGAAGTTAATATTATTTTTAAGGCACCATAATGATTTCTGCGGATGTCCAATTTTTAATGGTTTAGGTAATATTTTACACCCAATATCTTAATTACAGCATTAACAATTGATTATTGTTGCCCATGTACTTAATGCATATTAGTTACATACTATACTAGTTACTAATAATCTATATAACATTATACTAATCAGCAACAAGTTAAATATTATGTACATTGGTATAAACAATTATGTCTTATCTTTGTGTTAGGTAATGTGTATAATGTTAAAATATTGTTAACTGAATAATGATTGGTGTGTCTAATACAAGTTTTGTACACAGAGATAATATAATAATATTAAAAACAAATAATATATTGGTGTTGATATTTAATTGGTATCAATGTTAAATTGCAGCATTGAACATGCATAATATTGATTGTCTGTTAGAAGTTAGAACATTGTATTATTTAGTGTCAGGATTAATAATGTAATGTAAACCTAAAATCTGTTGAAGTTCAAGTATTAAAATATGACTTCCAAATAACTTTTACACTTTTTTTTCTCGGTATTTGATTATTTTAACTATAATAATTCAAGCTCATAATATTAAACTTACACTTAACTCACAAATTTGATGTAATTCAATTGTTTGTTCCAATATCAATTGTCATGCAGTGTATTGAGGCATAAATTAAATATAAAGATATTTTTGTGTAGGTATATTATTTAATCTGTAATTGTGAATCACCGACATCACCATATAACTAAACTAATGAACATCAAATAGCCAAGGTTAGGTACATTAACTAAAACACATGATAACAGATGTTCAAAACGGCTAAAATGTCTTATTTCACAATATACTAGTTTCATTTAGTTTATTTATGATGACCATTTAAATATTTATTTATTTGATAGTTAAAATGTTTTTGGATAATGTTAAAAAAATTAAAAATTACTGATGAATAATCAAACAGAGCACTTCAGTATACTATTTTAAACAATAGGTTATTAATGCAATGAATGTATGTTCGTTACACGGTGCTAAATTTTGTTGAAATTTTTTCCGAGTAATAAAATTGTAGTGAAAATTATTTTTGATATGTAACTTCTAAACATAACTTGTTACCATAATGTGTACATATTAAGAATTAAAATATTAAAATTAATCAGAAAAAACAATACTTTGAATTTATATTATGGGTGTGTATATTTTTTAATTTTAACTCATTGATACAATTCAGTTTTCAATGTGTTGTATAACATACATTTTCTTGATTCGTACCTTATAAATTAACACTTCTTAAAACACACATACTAATTAATAATATATATTTTATCTGTTTTGGACACTCAATATTTTGTGGTATTGATGTGTTATCGTAGTTGCAGCTTCTTACTGAGTTAGATAACTATAGTATTGTGTGTTTATAAAATATTATAATGGAAGAAGCTTTTGGATTGATGATATTTTTTGTCATAAATAATATTATAGTAGTTAATATGACAAATACATGTATATTATCAGCTTTAAACTTGCATTAATAATAATATGTCTTACATTACAGTTTATATTTCTAATTTTGTGTAATTTACTTTTGTTTTAGTTGAATCAATCTTTAAAAAATGGAACAGGAAAATGAAGCTGATCATCTCGGCGAACAGACCGAAAAAAAGAAAATATTAGTTTCCCACAGCAATGATCCCAATTCGGTAATTTCAAAATCAATCGATGATCAGGAAATGCAATTTAATATAACCAACAGTTATTTAAAAATTGATCCTTCTACTTCTTCTAATAATCATGTTAATTTGAGATCAAACTATACACCTAACTCTGATACTGTTTATACCCATCAGAGCCAAGAAAATCCTGTAGCTGAATTGAGTCCATCTAAAGTTTTCAAATGTAATGATTCTTTAGAAATTGATTTTGGTATGGATTCTGATAAAAAATATTGTACAAAAGAGATAACCAGATCCAATTTAGAGAATAATAATCAAGAGCTTCAACAAACTAAAAGTCCAACTCAAATTATGAAATATAAAAATACTAGCTCTGACATTCTAAAACCAACTGAACATACTAAATTATGTAAAAAGTATATTGGATCCAAATTTTTTTGTTTAATATGTGACACTAAAATGAAATCTTTAAAAGATTGGGAGTCACATGCTATAAGTACACGTCACTTAGAAAAATGTATGATTAAAAATGATTATGTTTCATATGACTGTGGTGGTTGTAAAACATTTTTTTTTGGAAATAAGGAACAGATTTTAAAACATTGCAAAGATATTCATAATGATATATCCGGACTCCCATGTGTTTTTAGATGTATGAAAGATGTATTTTATCAATGTATATTTATAAGTCCGACCAATTGGAAACCTTGGTCGTTTTGTGGTCCCTGTAAAAATTATTCATTTTTAAAAAAGAAATGTTATTCTAGTAACCACACTTTAAAAAAAACAATTAACTTCAAATGCAATTCATGTTTAATAGATTTTGTATGTAGCCAAGAAGTATATAATAAACATTTAATGTCGTGTGAACATATCATGTTGGAATATTTTCAATCCAAAAAAGTTGGCGAAAACCCGGAAAATCAAACTTTATGCAATTTAAAATTGCCCCCAATAGTTTTAAATAAATTTACTATTGATAACGTAAAAGCTACTTGTAATGATTGTAAGTTTCAAATGGTGTCCAACGAAAAAGCAATAACTGTTCATCTAACAGAATGTATCAATAAATCTGATGTAGGTAGAAAAAATACATCAAAAATCCAAACTTATTTTTGTACAATTTGCTCTAAAATCACATCTGATTTTAATCAATGGAAGTTACATTTATTATTATCAAGTCATTTAATTAAATGTCATGATATTAAAGATTTAGTTTCATATACATGTAAAACTTGCTCAATGCATTGTTATGGTGTTGTAAATCATTTAACAGAACATCAAAGTATTCATCCAAACAATTCAGAAAAAAATCTTTCCATGTTTATGGCTTTTAACTTCCATCGTATTAACAAAAATTTAAAATCCAAAGACTTTTACTACTGTGAAGAATGTGAAACATATGCTGAAGTCAATTCTAATTCAGATCATTGGAATAAAAGCCATAAGACTAAATTGAAACGTATAATCTGTCAACCTTGCCGTACAGAATTCTTTTGTATTGAAGATAATTTGTTGTTCAATAAACATATTTTATCAAGTGAACACATTATTTTAAAATCTGTGACCTCTAGAAATCCACTTCCAGAACTTAATATACAATCATTGACAAATCAAAAACGGTGTGCTTCAAAAAGTATTTTGGATAAAAAAGTTCCATTCAATATTAAACCGTATTTGCAATTTTTTCAAAATATAAAGAATGAAAATAAAACTATGTGTATTTCATGTGATAGTCTAATTGATTTAAATCACAATGATCTTCTTAGTCACTTGTTAGTTTGTAATCATGGATTGGCAAAATGTATCCCTCGATCAAATTTAAATTATTTTCAATGTCTAGAATGTGCATTTTGTTCAAACAATAAGGATACATGGAAAAAACATGCAATTACACATGCAAAATTAGACACTAATATTTGTTATTCTTATATTTGTAAAAGTTGTAACTCTTTAGTGTATGGTGAAATGAATGATATTGAATTACATTTAATTACTGAACATAAGACAACTATTATAAATATGCCATTAGAATCAGTGTTAATGGCAAAACAGTTGATGAGGAGAAATAATAATGCTAGCAAATCGTCTGATATAATGTGCTTTTGTGATCCATGTAATAAAATATTCAAGTCAAGTGAAAATCTTAATCATTTTAATACAGACAGTCATGCATCAGCAGCTTCAGATATTGTAGAATTATTTTACTGCAAGGATTGTAAAGTGGAATTCTACTCTTCAATTACAGTTTATGAATGTCACAAGTTAACTGCAGAACATATAATTATGAGCTCAGACTATATAGAAACTGAAATTAAGGATCTTAAACCTACGAAACTTGATACCCATTTACTTACCTATGTTACTGATCAAAATTTGTATGATTCAACCCCAAACATTGCTTTTTTCTGTTTTGTCTGTGATTATCTGTGTTTAAAGTTAGAAGTATGGAAACTTCATATTAATAGCAAAAAACATATCAATTCTTCCAAATTTCTTTGTATGGACCACCGTTGTAAAATTTGTAAAACACTTATGTTTGGATATCGGCATCACATGTTTGAACATTATAGCAATCGTTTTCATTCAATGTTGAGACAATTCAAATCAATAAAATCTACTGAGGTTTTAAAACAAAAATGTGAAACAAAACACTCATCCAATATGCGAGCAACTTTTGAAAATAATCAAAGTGCAGTATTCAAAGAGAATATATCAGGAGAATCTAGTGCTAATAATAATGCAGATAATTTATTAACAAAAATGATGAATAAATTATCACATCAATCAAATATTCAAAAAGAAAATACCTTATTAGAAGTATCTACTACTTATAACGCCAACGATACACATTCGAGGACAATAGATGAATTTCCTCCCGAATCAAATTCTCATTGTGATGGTAGTATAGTAGACAAATCTATTACACAAATTAACGAAATCCAATTAATGAGAACAACTTCTGATGAATTCCCACTTTCATCAAATATTTCTCAAGATAGAATAATAGAAGAATCTACTACCAATTTTAGTGAAAAACTCTTTGAGAAAAAAATAGAGGATAAATCTCTTCTCGAATCAAATACTCAAAATTATAGTGAATTTTATGGATTAAAAATGAGTGCGTTACATGAAATGCTTAATCAAAACCAAGAGATAAAACCAAACATTTCTTATTATTGTGTATCTTGTGATTTTATTACTGCAGAAGAAAAAAATTGGGATGAACATAATTTAACACACCATGTAAATGAAGTTGAAGTGCGCCATAAGGTATTTTGTGATACTTGTAATTTATACTTAGTTGGGCTGTCTAATTTAGATAACCATGTTAACACTATTGAACACAAAAATATGTTAGAATTACAAAAATTAATCAGTTCTAAAAATTTGAAAAAAAAAAATATTAAAATCAAAAGGAGAATTGAAATAAATAGTAACTTGACTGCTGGTAATCCTTCAGATGTTACTCAGACTTCAAAAACAGATAAGCCACAAACAAATGTTGGTAAAACTGATGAAAAAGAAGCAAGTAATCGTAAAATAATGATTGAAATTAAAGGTAATGCAGTAGTTTTTTATAATTTATTAATTATATTAATACATTCTAATGTCTTAGGTGTAAAACCACAGTATAAAAAAAATGGCTGGGTTGAAATCAAGAAAATATTTTCTTTTTATGGTCTTTTTGGATTTATTACTAAACACAGCTCTGTTATAATCATATTTCGTAAACTGTAAGTATATATTCTACCAAATAATACAATAACTGTTATCCCTAGACTCTAACTATTATACTACTTATCTTAAGGTTCTATATTCTATTGCTATGTACTGCAGCAATATATCATCATATATATTGTGTTATTTTATTACATTTACACTCTACTCAACGTGTCATACATAATTTGAAAATATTTTATATACTATACTTTTCAATACTATTTATTTTAAACATACAATTTTAATATTTTAATATCATTAAGTTATTAATAAAACATTAAAAACACTTGAGTTGTAATATATATTTTAAATAGATACTTTGAGTTATATTTGATTTTAATGTAAACTAAATAAGTAAGAACCCTTAAAATCAAAGATTATTAATATTAAATTACTATTTTAGTATTTTAGAGTACATTTATCTCATTCTTTAAATGCCTAATTTTACTCCATAGTACTAAAAGTATAAAAAACTTAAAAATCATCTTGATAACAAATTGATTCCAATGTTTGTAAAATATGTTCTTGACACCAAAATTATAATATTATTAATATATATAATTTCAAAAAAATACCTTATATTTTTTATATTATTTTGAGCTTGCCTAAAATGTATGTTTTGTAATATTCACAGAGCTTCCATGAACAGAATGTTAAATGATAGAGAAATGTTGGAAAGAAAATATGAATTTACTATTAATATTTTAGTTGAAGGTAAGTTTTCATAGTAAAAATTAATGTTCTACTCTTGGAAAATATTGTATATTATGTACCTAACTATAAATATTAAAATATTTAAGAAAAATTAAAACTTCAAACAGTAGTGGTTCTTGCATGGTGTACAGCAGCACATGAACCACCCAAACAATTATATAAAAATTATTAGATTCCTATAGTAAATTATAATTAGTTATCAATGATAACTTATCATGTACATGCTCTGTAATAAATAAAAAAAATGTGTCTATAACAACTAAATAATTTGGGGAGCACGCGTTTTTTGGGTACCAGTGGCTGTATAAATATTAGCTATGTGCATCAACATATCAGTCAGTAATACATGATTGTTTGGAGCACAATATTTGCACCAGGTCTATTTTAACGTCGAAACAATAATGCACCACTCATTGGCCAGTAATTACCCTCAATTTACATTCAAACCAACTAATAACTACTTTATAAACAATATAATATAAAAACAGAATAAAATATCCATCTTATATATTTTTTGTGCACTGCCTTATGTGAACCTCACGAGCTGCCACACATTTTTACTTTAAAATTATGTATGAAAAACATTGAAATTTTTTTTTTTTTTGTTGATTGGGTTAGTTTACTTAGACCTTTTAATTTAGGAATTTTTTTTACAAATAGACATACAGTTTGTGCAATTTTATTTATTACTTATTCATTTTTGAAGGGACAAAAACTACTATTCACAGTTATCAAAATTGTCTACTCAATAGTTTTAATATTATAATTGTATTGTTGCTTATGATTAAATTGCTATGTACTATTGTAATATGTAAAAATATATCATTTCTAATTTTAATTGTAATTAATTATAGAAGACAAATTACCTGAGCTACATAAAACAACAGTGTTCGAGTTTGGAAATAAAGAAGTACTGCTAAAATCTATTGACAAACAGATCATGGAAATTAAACAAGAAATTTCTAATCCAGATATAATTGATAGATTATTTTTATTAGTAAACTCAATACATAGTTGTGCTGGCCAACATTTCAAAGAAAGTAAAACATATGCTTTTGGATCACGTATGTCTGGTCTTGCACTTAAGGATAGTGACGTGGATTTATACTTTGATATTGGTAATACCAATATTTTCTACTTAAACTTAAAGTATTTGATTAATTAAAATAAAATAATAGTTAGAAATAAAAATAATACTATACAGCGTCCACATAAAGTTTTGTTTTATATCTGTTAAAAAAAATTAGACTGTCCCGTCGATGTTGGAAAAAGTTGAGTTTATACTTTGTTTTGTTTTCTTGTCCGGTGTAGATTCTGCATTATGCTTTAGAGAAAATAATCAATAACTGTTGATTTATTATAATTGTAGACATAGTGTAGATTAAAGGTATAGATTAATATATTTTGTTAATTTTCAAAAGGCTTTTGATGCAGTAAATCATTTTTTGCAACATCTTAAGTTTTTGGATTTGCTGACAATTGTGTAGATTTGTTTTTATGTTTTATAAATCGAAATCAAAAAGTTAAAATATCTTTTCATTATTTTAATAAATATTTAGTTCTCTTCAGTTTTCAGTTCTATAAGGTTTTCATCTAGGACTACTTCTAGTTTTATTGATAAATTATCTGCCTTCAATTCTTCATAGATGTATTGAATTTTAAAATATTGCTGATATTATCCCATACAAAGTTTAATCTAATTGTGCATTATTATATTATTTCACATTCTATGTATTAAATTATATTTTTATTGTATTCACGATGAATGAGAACGTTTTATTCCTGCCCTTGGTTCTTACATATTTTTCATTATATGTTGTTGCTTGCAACTTTTAATTTTAAACACAATTAGTGTAATATCTAATTTTCAATTAAATTTTATAGCTGGCACTTTTGGCGGAGAATTAAGTAACGATCTGTATGCCCAAGAGGATCTAGTACGTTATTTTGGAAAAGTATTTCGGTCTCAAAATGATGAATATAAACATATACAACAAATAACTGGAGCACGTGTGCCTATAGTCAAATTTTTACATGTCCCTTCTGGCCTATATTGTGATTTGTCTTTCAAAAGTGGCCTTAGTACACATAACACAAAATTAGTCAGGTAAATTATATATAATTATTATTAAATTCATTGATAAAATAATATTTTTAATTTATATTTGACGATTTAGATTGTACTTAGCATTGGATGAACGTGTTCACTGGATTGTTTGTGCAGTTGTTAAACGTTGGGCATTACAAAATGATATGAAAAATCAAAGTATGTTTACCAGTTATGCTTTAGCATGGTTGGTTCTCTTTTACCTGATGACTATTGAAGTTGTGCCTCCATTAACATTACTCAGAAAACATGCAGATTATTCAAAAGATACATCTAGATCAGATGTTATGTTTATAGAAGGTACATAATTTTTTTTCAGTAATTTTAAATAATATAAATATCTGCTTTAAATTGTACCTAAATTTTAACTTTACATATACAGAATGATTTAACAAGCACGTGCAACCCCATTTTATACTTTAATATTAAATGTATTCAAATTTTGTTTTTTGGAATTCTTCTATATACTCAATGACCATATTTTCAAATTCTTAAATTATTTGTACTAATTAAGGAGTACTCTGTGGTGATACAAACTTCTGTTTTTCGAATGAGATGTATCATATTCAAAATTGGAGTGAGTAGTTTCTTAGTTATTAAATTGTTTGTATTGAGGATAATAATCCTAAACTGGTTTTACATAAATATAAAATAAACGTAAAATTGGATCTAGTATTTATTATACTTTATTATACTGCTATTTTTACAAATTATTAATATCGATTGATTTTTATAAATGACTACAATTTTCAAATCACTATAACCCCTATTTTTTAATAACTCATTACTATGGACCTTTTATCCTTAGACCACAAAAAGCTAAATAATTCAAATACTGTTCACTTTGATTTTGATATGTCAAACATTTTAGGGAAATTATCTACTTATATACTTACTTACTCTATGTACTTATCTGAAAAACAAAAGTTTATATTTCCACAGGACACTCTTTAAGTTGTGCATCAAATTTTAAGAATTTGAAAATATGATCTTAAAGTATATTTAAAAAAATAAAGAAAAATGGGGGCGAGCATGCTTGGTGAACTGCCCTGTATAATTTTGTATTACAATTAATAAATTGACATGTTTTTTTTCTTTTAGATTGGGACTGTACTTTCTGCACCTTAGAAAAAGCCAAACAAATATGGAAAGTACCAGAGATTCCTTGTTGGGACTTATTATTTGGGTTTTTTAAATTTTATTCTAACTCTACATTACTTCAACAATTCGTTCTTTGTCCAGCTATTGGAAGTGCTATACCTAAAAATAGTTTTTATGATGTTCCAAAGGCAACACCGGAGTTATTAGGTTTTAACAAAAAAAGGAATGGTAAACCTATTGACTGGTGTATAAGATTAAGAGATAACTTTCATGGCGAAGGTCTTGCAGTACAAGATCCTTTTGATCTTTTTCACAATATAACAAAAGTTATTATACCTAGAAAGTTACAAACCTTCTCTTATTTATGCAATAAAACTATGGAAGTTATGAAAAATGGAGTTCAACCTTATTATGCATAAATATTGCAACACAATTTTTTTTTATCCGATTCAAAACAAATATTTTTAAAATGAGATTTAATTTGATAATTAAAACAATAACATTTTAGTTTATTAAATAAATATATATTTAATAAAAATGACTTAAATCGTCAATTACTAGTTCTTTTTTCTTTGTACTGAGGGTTATTTGTGTACATATCTAATTTCAGTAACTTTAACTTCGGCTATTATACAAAGTGATTTATTATTTTATCATACCTCTCATTGTTTATAAACAATTTTAATTTTCTGTTTCACAAGAACTTGTTATAAATAAAATAAAAAAATGTATTTTATCGGCAGACAGAAGTTATTTATTTTTATTGTGTTAATTATCATGACTTCAGTCATAAATATTCTTAAGTTATATTTTTAGTATCATTAATTTATACACATTTACAACAAAAAAATGATTAATTTACTTCTATTATACAATTATTTTGTTCCACTCTATTTTATTTAAAAAAAAAATCATATTTCATATTTTTTATACAAGTGAATTATTAATTATTTTTTTCATTTGTTTGCATTGAATTTTTACTTTTATCACTTATATTTTTAATTTTAAGGCATTTAGTTTTAATGACGTTATTTTATTAAGTGATAATGATTATATTATTAAAAATGTATTACATTTAATTATTGTAGGTCAATGAAAGTGCACTAACAAGTTGCGTTTAACTTTTTGGGGGTAATTTTCTAGTAAATAATAAAAATTGAACCAAATTAAAGGGATTTAGACCTGTTCTTTATACTAATCTAAAAACATCTAAGATTTTGTAAAAAAAATTATAGATGGGGGGCAAGAGCTCATGCTAAATTAGATAAGTATAACGCAATTTGTAGTCACTAATGATAAAGTCTTTAATATTGGAGACTTCTTGATAAGACCTATGTTATTATATTTATTCTTATTATATTTTGGAATAATTATATCTTACTATGTGTATTAATTATTATATTTTAGCATAATATATAAATTTTATCTGGTGTGATTATGTTATGTTATTTTATTTCTTATTAGTTAATTCAAATTTAACTTATATTCAGTTTTGGAAAATCGAAATAATGGAAGTTTAGATAATTTCTTTATGAATAATTTCATAAAAAAAAGCGGGTTAGTGGATGTCGCTCTGCTGTACAGTAGGTTACAAGTTGGTCATCACTGTAATGGATGGTGTTAAATCTGAATTTAATGACATAAAATCATTGTGTATGAAAAATGGTTCTGAGCGAAGAGTCTGTCAGTCTAAAATATAACTTAGTAATTTAGTATATTTGATGATATTATTTTAATTAAAGTAATTTATTTTACTATCGGGCATTATTACTATGCAGTAGATTAAATTAATTTTTGCCAGAAAAAAAAATGTATCTGAAGAGTCATTGAGTGCTTAAAATACAATCATATACTTCAAAAGATTCTAGTCCCACAAATATTTTTAATTTACGACATAACATAAATCATTATTTTTGCGGATACAAATGCCATGATGATTATTACACAAAATAATTTTTACTTTGATTAACAACCACAACAATCGACGAGTAACTAGTGGATACACTATTAAGTGTTAAAATAATCAAATTAAATTTGTCCTTTAAGCAGCCACTAACTTTATGAAGGAGCCCTAAAAATTTCACTTAGGCAACATACCTGCTGCTAGTTGCACCACAGCTACAGGTGAGATTTTTAGGACATTTACAGATGAAGGATAAATATGAAAATAGAATAAAATAGAATTGTTGTTTAGAAAAAATAATAATATTGGTATTAATGCTAGGTAAATCAGAACAATTTTTCATCTATATGAGGGTTAACCAAAGCTTCTTTTAATTTGAATGCATCAAATCATTCCATACACAATAAAATATTGTCATTTTACAAATATATGATGAACCTGGCTAAAGTTTCTTCCAGAAATCATTCTCAATATTGAGATATTTATTCTAAAAAATTGTCATCAGACACACAAAAGAAAAACATTGTAAATACATTTATTGCTCTTGTAAAAATTAAAAAGGAATATTTATATTTATTCATCATCTTCTTGATTAAATGTAAGATGTTGAGCCAATCTTTTTTCTGCTTTTTTAATTAGCTTTTCACGACCTCGTGGTTTTTTAGTTTCTTTTTGCTTGGTACACTTAATTTCTCTATCTCTTAAAATTTTATCCCAATAAAGCTTTTCTTCTTCACCTATCACAAATATCATATTAGTTTTTTAAAAATAAAATATTAAGTGAATATTAACCTGTTAATAACGTGGTTTGAGGCCATCGGTTTTCCTTGGCTATTTTTATAGCAGTTTCTGGACAATCGCATCGAACGTAAGCTTCAGAATTGTGTACAACATCAACAAACTTCACACTAGAATCAGCTTTTGCTTCAGCCTTAAAAAATAATACAAATTTTAGATGATCAAGTGTCAAGATTGAGGAAATATAATATTTATTATTATAGCAATCGAAACTTAAAATACCATAAAATCAACAGGATATTATGGAAATCATAGTAAATTTATCGGAATAAAGACACAACAAAATGCTATAAAAATGGTTTTATGGTGAAATAAAGAACACTAAGAAGCTATTAAAAAATTATAAGACATAAAACAACCGCAGTCAATAAATAGTTAAATAAAATAATATATTTGATATCAAGTAATTGTGTAACTTTTAGTTTAAATATAGTGGATGATTTTTTAGTTGCTAATACATAAAACAGTATAACATCATTTTTTACCATTTAAATTTACAACTAAATAAAAATAAACTTAAAACCCAACATAGGATTATTAAGATGTTGTAAAATGTCTTATATGATGGGTAAATAATACAATATGAAAATAAATAAATAAAAATATCATACTTTGAATATTTTATCAGACTCAATTGGATTTGTAAATGAAATTTTCAATATTACACCAGGTTCATACTTTACACGAATATCATTATTTTTTGGTAATTCTACATCTACAATTTGAATATTTGTATTGGCATCATTACTTTTCCACACATTTTCATTATACTTAGGACGCCGCAACTGAGCTTTTAATAAAGACATTTTTTGTCGTTGCATATTTAAAAATTGATTTCTTAGTTTTCTCCACTCGGTTCTAAAACACATAACAATAAAAATAAATATGAAATATGTTTAAAAATATAAAATATTTTACTTTGACATTATTCTTAGCACAGGTGAAGTTAAATTAGCATCTAATTTGACTTTTTTTCCTTTATTACGTTTTCTTTTTTTTTTTATATTTGAATCAGTATTGTTAGGCTCGATATTTAATTCTTTTTTATCATCATCACTTGTGATAATTTCTTCTGGTTTTGAAATACTGATATCAAGATTTTCAATTAAAGTTTTCTGGTTATTTTCACCATCACTAATTTCAAATGAAGAATTTTTTTGTTCACCATCCAAATCACTTTTCTTAGTTTTGTCTTTTTTCTTCTTTTTCTTACTATTTTTAATTCCAGAACTGTTTACTTGAGGTGTTTCTTTCTTCAATTTCTTTCCTTTAACATCTTCTATGCTAATAGAATGTTTTCTTTTTTTCGGAGAATTAATATTGTCAGTACTTTCATCTGCATCCTTTTTATCTTCATCTTCTTTAAAAGTAATTATACTTTGCAGTTCTTCTGGAAGGATTTTTGGTACTTCATGTAATTTTTTGTATTCCTAAATATATTTTAATTTCAATATTATTATTTCTAAATTCATATATATATATATATATATATACACATGGTTATGGGTACATTAAATTACAATGAAGGAATTTTTAATAAAATTGGCACATAATAATTAATTTATCATAGTAATTTAAACACTTTAGAACCACTGAACTTGAGTACAAAAAATAGTTTGCTTTTGCTTTTAGTATGGTGCACATTGGCTATTAAACAGTTACTAACATTTGGTGTATTGATTTGGGCCTACTTTCAGTAGGCTTTAATGCCTAATTCAATTGTTTGAATTTTAACATCTGTATATATCCACAATCTCTGGTTGGAGGGGGAGGGGTCTTCTTTTCCTAGACAGTTATTCAGCCAGAGAAGACATCTCCCGAGGCCAGGTTTGAACTGCTTAGTTTACTAGGAACTTCATCCCTAATCAAAGAAGTAAATTTATTCTACCACCCTTAAATATACATTTAAAATTTTAAAACATTCAAAACCCTAAATGGGTGTCCAAGGCCGGTGTTAATGTTGTTAAAGCACAGTAACCTGTCTTGTATTGACTTGGACTAGGCTATAGCTGTACACAATTGAAATTTGTGTTGGGTATTTAATATCGCGGCAACATGTTAACCTATGACCATGTATAAACATATATATTTTATTTTAAATACAATTTTACTTCAAGAACTTTGATGGCAGATTCTTCATTATCAAATTCAATAAATGCAAATCTTTTAATTGTTCCACTTTTAAATTTAGGCAATGAAATGTAAGCAACACTTCCATATTTTTCAAACATTGATTTAATCCAATCATGATTTGCTTTAGGAGGCAATTGTTCCTACAACATACAATAATATTCTGTTTAAATTTAATAATCTAGATAATATTAAATTTATGCAAAATGATAAATATGAAATAAGTATTCAGGATAAAAAAATATAAAATATTCATTTTTTCTCATGTTTTAATCAACCTATATACTATTATTATGTACATAAATAAACCATTATAAATGAAGATGATTTTGCAAATGTTATAGTCATTAAAATAGTCACTAACTTTATTAATGTATAAGTATTTTTATTGTTGAAGTATAATAATTCTTCAATTAAAATCTCAATAAAAGAAAAAAAAGTATTTTTATATACTGGAAAATACAATTGTTTAGAAAATAGGTAATATTACAAAAATATATATTTTATGAATATGTATAACTAACCACATATACTGTACAGCGTTCAACATCCTCGGGTTGTTTTTCTTCAATAGGCTTAATCCTATAAATTTTGGTTTTACAATCACTAACAGTTAGAACACTAGAGCTCTCTACAGCTTTAATTATATCTTCTGGATTTTTGGTTAAACTCTTAATTTTATTACAGTTCAAGAATGTGTCAATACTAATACCTACAACAATAAATAAATGATCTATTTTGGTAATTATAACTATAAAATTATGAACACCTTATAAAATATATTTTATCGAACATTGACTAACTCAGTCAAATACCGGGTAGGTAAAAATATAAAATGTACTCAATTTATTTTTAAATATCTTTGGTCTGATAAATTGGTATTTATTTACAATACAGTACACATATCCCATCAATATTTGTATGAAACCTAAGGAAGGTTAGCGAGATGGTGATATTGAACAGAGGAAAACAATATTAAATACCATATTTACCATTTCAGTACAAGTTAAACACATTTGTATGCTTTTCATTCACATAGGATTAATAAGATAAATAATATTTAATGATTTAATTGTGTGAGCATTTTATATTAAAATAATGATACTTAAAACTGTCAAATGTACTAGCTTATTCAATAGCTTTAACGATCATAATATGTATTTATTGCATCAAGACACTCACAAGTTATTTTATAACAATACAACTTACATTGACTGGTTTGCATAAGATGTCCAAAATACCTATCTTTTCTTAAATTAGCATCACTTAGATAAAATTCCAATAGTTGTTTTAAATCAGTGTAAAGCTGCTTTTTTCTTTTTCTAACTCGATTTAATGAAGATTTTAGAATATTTTCTTCAACACTTTCAATACTTATATCACTAGATGGTTCCATTCTAAAACAATAAAGAAACCAAAAACATTATGTATACATCTTACATAAAATCAAATAGTTATTAATAGTTTGATCTTGGTAGTATTATTTTCATTATTTCTTTCTTAATTCATTATTTTTAGCAAATTATAGCAATTCAATACCTAATTAATATACAAATTCTAAAAAAACATAATTTAATTATGAATATAAAAAATTGCTAAAGAGTAATGATTAATTAAGCAAATGCAAACATTTGTTCAACTTCTATATATATTTAAAATGCTTTGAAATGATTTTTTAATTTTAATATTGAGAATATTATTTAGGTTTAAGGACAATATGTAGATTAAAAATCAGATATTTATAAAAAGGTACTACTCGGTGATTATTATCAAAGACCAAAAATAACAGTAGAAGAGTGTTACCACAACAGTGAATTTGTTGTGAATCTAATAAGACATTTTTACACAAGCGAACAAAAATGGTAATTCAGTATAGTGAGTGGAGATATAGGAATTTTATTGACTTGGTAGTTATAGCATCTGTTGGTAGTTGAGATAAAGCACAAATTTTATTTGAATGGAAATTTAAATTTATAAATAAGACATAATATGTTGTAACATAGGTCTAAAAAGTAAAATAACATGAGATATATTATATAAAACAAAAAATTAAGTTAAGACATATATTCATGAGAATGAAGAAAACTGTCCATTAACAGAGCTCCAGAACATAATTTACTTAAAGTATATACCGTTTGTACACTTTATCACTCATTACCCTGTAAATATCTCTCAATTCTGTTTGCAGGAAATTTAACTAGAACAATTATATTTAGATAATTTGCTATAACTTACAATTTTGTTCATTTGTGTATTTTGAGCATTGCTAACGTACTTTTCATTTTTTTTAAATGGCAACCCCTATTTTAAATATAATTTTGGGATTGATCGAAATTTGAATAATTTTTTTTTTAATTGCACGTATTTTTTTCTTCTTAACACTGTGATGCAAACCAAAATAACTTTTAATTAAGTAATAAATCACCTACTATTTATGAATTATTAATTCATTTTATTCTTCCACATTATGAAATAACATAATTTAAAAATGTATTTTCAGGAAACAAAATTCTAAATTTCTATTTTATTATTTTTAACCATATTATAGATTTTTACTTACTGAAATTACAAAGATAAACTATTTAATAAATTGTTCAAAAGTCCTTCCGTTGTGCAGAGTGCATGCCTTAAATTGACATGAAAATTCACCACTAGATGCTAGCAGTATTTGATTTGCATTTAAGACGTTACACGAGTGTGTAATTGTATTCTTTAAATATTGAATGTTGATTGGATTGTTTATTTTAAAAACCTTGTGAATCAAAGTTTTGGACACACAAACTTTATGTCTTAAGAACATTTGTTTTGTTATAAGAACCGTTTTCTAAGGTTTTCTATCAGACTTTTCAAGTTTTTGAACATAAGTATAATGGGGATGATATGGATCTGTATATTACTGTGCATACATTCTTGTTGCTTCTCGTGCGTTTCTGTTACACTTTCCATAGATCAACAGTAACTGAACTTTTTCATGATTATTGATGTTTTAAATTTTATTCTAACAACATTTATAAACTGTAACTTTAGGACTCTGATAATGAGTCTCACAATACCTAATATGAAAATAGGTATCTAATAGCATTTTAATAGATATTGGTATATAACAAAAATAGAAAGACGAATGTTCATTATTATTTTAGATACCTAATTATGATTCTAATTGAAGGAAAAAAATAAAATAATAAAATATAAAATACCTAACACACAGTTAGAAATAAAATAAATGTTCAAGTGTTGATTTGATTACTTATGATTATACACGACGGAGGGACTTTCAAACAATTTATTGAATAGTTTATATTTGTAATTTCTGTAAATTAAATTGTAAACAAAATTTGATTGTAAAAAAAAATAAAATAGAAATAGATTTTGTTTCCTGAAAATACATAATTAAATTATGTTATTTCATAATTTGCAACAATAAAATGAAATAATAATTCATCAATAGTAAATAATTTATCACTTTAATAATAATAATTTTGATTGTGTCAGTGTCTAGAGAATTTCAAGCAATGAACGATGTACCTTTAAAAATAAACTGTCACATAAATTGATAAATAATGCAAAATGTAAAATAAACATAGTAGTAATTAAAAAGCAAATAATAGAATTCAAAATGTGTACTACCAATAAACACGATTTTTTATTTTAAACGTAAATTGGGTACTTACACGTTCGAGATCAAGAACAAGTAACAACAGTATGCTACTAGTGTCCAGTACTGACTACAAAGCGTTTGATGAGAAACCGTTAATGATATGGTCAATTTCGGTTAAATCACTTTCACACGACTGACATTTCAACGTTTGCAATCTGCAATCAGCAGTATCATTGTTGGTGAATGGCGATCATAGATAAGTATAATTATATAATAATGGCGATTAAACATTGACGTTCAAAACTTCAAACCGGCAGCCGGGTATCAAACATTCAAATTTCAAACTATCAGCAATCAACTATCGTCTATCATGGCGGGTTCAGCGAGATAAAGGATAATAATATGTAATATGTAATATTACTAATTTTGTGTTTTTGGCATACCTAATACCTATCTATTATACATTTGTTTGTGGACAATTTGGTATTCACATCTTTGTCAAATACGTATACGAGTATGGGAAATACTGCGAATAAATACTTACACTTTGAATTTGATGATGTTCGGAGGTTATATACTAATATATTATAATCATTAATATTTAATAGTATAATATCTTATATTATAGATCACTGGGCCAGTTGGGACGGTCCAAGTGTCCAACATTCAGACTCACTATCACTTCAGAACAATAGCTTATCTATTCTGTGCTCACTATGACACAATTTATATAGTGTGTTTATTGAGTAGTGAATATATTATAATATCAGTATATATATTGTATTGTGAACCGTTTCGAGACCCCTAGAAAACTACATAAGTAGATACTAGAAAGGATAGGCCATAGATACACATTGAATAAATCAGACCGTGGTCTGTGATAATAATTAATAGAGTCCTAATAGAAATTCTATCAACAAAGTTTTTCCTGCGGTCTCCGACTAAACGGACAAGCTTAAAGGTAACCAAATCGCGGGATACAAAATTCCTTTTCCCATCGCTGGCGTTACTAGACTTGATAAAAATCAGGGTTTACAGCGACTGATAACAGCCCAGCCAAAAATTTTTTTTAGAACGAAAATGTTCTTGACGAAATTTTGGTTACCAAATTCTTCCGATTTGGTAAGTTTAACATAACATGTTCAGTGCTCATTAAGTGCTCTTTAATTTTTCTAAAGTTATCCACGAAAGACCAACCGAAATGACACACAACGATTTTCTTTGGATGCTGTGAACCTACATCATTTGCAGTGACCTATTAAAGATAATATATAAACAAATATCAAAGGTGATTGTAATATGTAGTTAGTTAGGTGATTGCATAAGTACGTTTTTGCCTCGTGTATATAAACAAATCCTTTCTGCTAAGGTTCAATTATGAGAGTAGTAGCATTAATCAGTGGCGGTAAGGATAGCTGTTATAACATGATGCAGTGTATAGCGGCAGGCCATGACATTGTTGCATTGGCCAACCTAAAACCACAAAGTAAAGGTAAGTTGTGTTATTTAGGTCTTAAATCATGTATAATACATGTGGCAAGTTTGTATTCGATGTATTAAAAATATATATGTTTTTATAAACATTTTTTTCAACAATAACAGATGAGTTGGATAGCTACATGTATCAAAGTGTTGGCCACCAAGCAGTAGAATTATATGCAGAAGCAATGGGACTCCCATTGTTCAGGCAACGAACAAACGGGGTTGCATTGCAACAAGAGAAAATTTATACTCATACTCCCGAAGATGAAGTTGAAGATTTGTTTGATCTCCTTGCTAATATTAAAGTATTTAGTCTATTATACAAGCATTAAGTAATATTAAATGTTGTATTTTTTCTTATTCAATAATTTTTAAATTTAGACACAAATTGAATTTGATGGTGTAGCTGTGGGTGCAATACTTTCTGATTATCAGCGTTTGCGTGTTGAAGATGTGTAGGTTGACTGATATTTACAATATACCTTCAAGGAATCCTAATAAATTGTAAAGAATATTTCATAATTTCTAGATGTTCAAGATTAGGTATTTGCTCACTGTCATATTTGTGGCGTCGTGATCAAAAAGAACTGTTACAGGAAATGATTGATTGCAATATTGAAGCAATTGTTATTAAAGTAGCAGCACTTGGATTAGACCCTACAAAACATTTGGGATTGCGAATTGATAAACTAATGCCACATTTAGTTAAAATGGTAATGAGGAATATTTATTATTTTCTATATATTTGTAATTAGATATATATATGTGTGTTTACATATATATATATATATAAATATATATTTATATATTCACTATTGCATGACTAACATGCTACTCCAATAATGGAGGTTCTAGAAATGCATTTCATAAGTCAATATTTTTAGGGAATGTTAGTCTCTGTATGCCTGATTAGTGGCGATTTTTTAATTTCTTTACAATAAGTTTGATACACATTATGCAAGTTATACTACCATTTATTTCTAGATTAGGTTTAGCAATAGGAGTTTAGTAGTTTGATTATTAATTATTTATTATGGATTACCTTTTTTAATTTTTGGGAATAAAAACATTAAATAAATTATGAAATATTTTATATTTGATGCTCACTTCTTTTCTATTGCCATATTAAGGTGGGATATAAGAATAGGTGTCTGTTATATTAATTTTTATTGAGTGTAATACGTATCTGACACAGTGGAGATGAATTGGGGTTCTTCCCGTTTTCTCCTTGACTTTTGTGTTGGTTTCCAGAATGAAAAATATGGCTTAAATATATGTGGCGAAGGTGGAGAATACGAAACGTTCACTCTAGACTGCCCTTTGTTCACCAAATCGGTGATCATGTAAGTATACAAATAAATCCACACACTTGATCACAAACATATTTAAATACAACATTTTTTACCATGTAAATTCCAGTGATCAATGTTGTTATAGTGGACAACATTCTAGTTTTAGAAAACAACATAGAATTGTTTGATATTAGTTCTTACTTGAGAATTATTTTTATTTCATCATCTATGATTAGAAAAAAAATAGGTGGATTTTTTATTACCTAGTTGAAAGCAGTTTAATAAATTGTTACATTTTATTATTATTATTATTATTATTATTATTATTATAATTATTATAATAATAATATTTATTTTTTTATTTTATTTTTTTGATAGAAATATTTCATAATATCTATATACATATATAATATATTTACATACATTACACATAATACAATATGTTTATACATTAGTTCATTGTTCTAACATTATCAATATTAATAATACATTTTAATTATAATTAATAGATATATTATATTGATATAATAATATTATATATTATAGCTGCTTATTATTTTACAATTTTTATTATACTTAAATATTATTACACAAATATGTTCCACACAAAATAAATAACCTGCAATATGTTATTATTTTATTAAACTCAATGAGATAATATATATTTTTTTTAATCATAAATATTTTAAACAGATTATGTAATAAATGGTGCAAATGTTTCATTAGAAATATTGCTTTGATATTTTTCAGTGAAGAGTTTGAAACTGTGATGCATACCAACGACACTATTGCTCCTGTGGGATATATAAATTTTAAAAAATTTTGCTTGTTAAAAAAACCGGTTGGTAAAATTTTAAATTTAAGTTATGGTTAGGTATTTTGATTAGAAAAATCTATAACATTTAAATAATATGTGGATTATTTATTCAAACATTTTTTTTTTCTTTAAGAATGTTGATGAGAATCAAAGTTTTCGTGATCGTATGGCTTGTTATCGAGTACGCAGCCCCTTAGCTCATTTGTTGGACTTGGATGATTTAGAAATTGACCTTGGTACTGTTACTGATGGTGACAATTTTGATGATGATGCGTCTGAAAATAATAGTATCATTATTGACCAGACTGATGGTCAAGTATGTTTTGGGGAACTTGTAGAGACAGATTCTGTGTCTTGTATTGGCTATCCAAATGGCTGGACTTGGATTAATTCATTAACTGGTTATTGGGTTGGTGATAAATCTCCACTTATAGTTGCTCTTGAGAGATTAAGAGGTAATTGTATTTATAATTTAATAATGTATGTAGTGTCTTATATTACTTATATACTTGACATAGGTATAATTTAAACCATGATGTCAAGCTGACATTATTTTAACTATCAAAAATTTGATTTCAATTAAAATACATCATTTTAATTCTACTATTTGTTTCAATAAGTTGAGGTTAAGTACTAAATATGCCAAATATTTTTAATCAACTAAATCATATTTTGTATCTTAAATTAAAAATTAACAATGCATATAGAATTAGTGTATATCTGTATATACCTATATTTATATTATATTACATATTGTTCAAACAATTGTATTAAAAAAAAATTCTCAAGAAACTAATTTAATCATATTTGTATTTTTTTTTTTGTTTGAATATATAGATTTATTGCAGGAAAGAAATTTAGAGTTAACTGACATTGTGGCTGTTACTTTATATGTTCGTGACATGACTGAGTTTCTTAATATGAATGCACAATATGCTTCAATAATGTGTAGAATTAGTCCTCCTGTGAGAGTTTGTGTTGAAATACCTCTTTCAGAGTACACACCTATTCTTATGGATGTAGTTGCTTATAAACCACCATCCAAGTCATCCTCAAATTCAAACCTCCCATCAATGTCCAAACATACAATGCATGTACAAAGTATATCTCATTGGGCGCCTGCTAATATTGGACCATATAGCCAAGCTATTCGAGTAAGTTTATTATTTATTATGTGTATAATATAATATTATTACAGGCATTTGTTTATGATGCAATTTATTTATAAGTTATAACAAACTAAAACTTTTTATTTCTATTATCCATCAATACTAGTATTTATTGTCTAAGATATATAAAAGTGTTTGACTGTATGCCGGATGTTTCTTAAATTTATTTTGTATGATTGTGATTTTTAGATTACTTATCATATTTTTAACCTATAATTTTAGGTTGGTGATATTATTTATGTTGCTGGACAGATTGCTCTAGTCCCAGGTACATTGAGTATTGTTGAGGGTGGAATCAGGCAACAATGTCGACTATCATTACGGCATGTTAGCAGAATTATTAAAGCAGTTGATCCTAATACACAACTTAGAGATGTTGTTCAAGTAAATTTTCATTCACATGTAATATATTTTTGGTTTTGAAGTTTTCGACTTAAATATTTATTTTTAGGGCATATGTTATGTAACTCACACCAAATATATTCATGCTGCTAGAACTGAATGGGAAAAAAGGACAAACAATGCTATCGTTGATTATATAGTAGTATCACGGCTACCAAAAAATGCTATTGTAGAATGGCATTTATGGGCACATAGACATAATGCTAGATTTGAGTGTAAGTATTATATGTAATGCTCACCCCCATTTTTCTTAAATAATGAATTTATTTAAACTCTTCTTTTGAAATTATTAAATATAAACTCTTTAAAGTTCTTGAATTTTTAGTACTACTTTAAGAAGAGTGTCCTGTTATAACACAAACTTGTTTTTCATTCGAAACCCCTTTTTATACTATAAATTATTTTTGAAAATTCTGATGTAACTGATTCAAAATTTGAATCAATAATTTTTTAGTTATTAAAATATTTGTACTAAGGATAGAATAGTCTTTAATACAAAAATATGAAATAGATATAATATTGGAAATATTATTTACTATACTTGGGCCATTTTTACAAATTATTAATTTTAAAATCACCATAACTTGGGAACCGGTGGCAGTATTGTGACAAACAGTTCCCACCCGGGTCCCTATCTTATAAATCTATTACCTTTTATCTTTAACACACAAAGTTAAATAATTCAAAAATTACTCGTTCTAATTTTGATTCTAATGCTTCAAATTATTCAAAAGAATTATTCACTGAATAATTTAAAATTGACAATAGAAGGAAAGTTTTCATTTAAAAAACAGAAGTTTGTATCTCGACAGAACACCTTTAGTACTCCAAGATCTCAAGAATTTGATAATTTGAGAATTCCAAAGTTTAGATTTTAAACTAACTACATTATTGAAGAAAAAAGGGAGGGGGGCTTGATGAATCTCTCTGTTTGATGTATTAAAAAGTTAATATTTTTTGAAAAAAATTTATGTATTCTATTTTTATATTTTTTTAGATGAAGAAACTGGTTGTTGTGTTGATAATTATAGGGTGTCAATACGTCGACGTTGGAACTATGAAAACAATGTGGCTGCAATTGTTACATATATTTCATCTGGTACTCATTAAATTGAAAACAAGAATACAACAAAATATTATAAACCATTATTTTATTTCAGGATCATGCACTTCACTATCAGCTATAACTGATTCATTAGAGACATCTACTGAATCTATATCTGCCATTGGTCTAGAGGAGGCTTTCCGTTATTCATTAAAACGACTGCTGCGTGGAGAACCAACTTCAACACCAACTGATGCTATTTGTTCGTTACGAATATTTTACAAAGTATCGCAAGATCAAAAACCTATATGTCGACAACTTATCAATGCTACATTGAATAATTTAAAAGCTGAATATCGAATAGCTGCTACTGTCATACCTGTATTACATTTGCATCATCCCAATACATTTGTATCAATCTGTGCGCTGAGGCATAATACCTGAGATTCATTACTATACAATAATTGACATAATCGCACACTAGAATAAGGAACAAAGACAATGGCCAGCTGTTCCATTAATAAATAATAATAATCAGCTTCATATAAATATTTTATAAACCTGTGTATAATAATGGCTGAATATGTATTAGATTAAATTCTTAAAATTTGCAGTCAATAATATTCTAGGTAAAATATTTAATTTATATAATTTGTTTAAATATCTCAGTTAAACAGTCCGTCCGGTTAAACTAAAAAATTTTCGTAGCTGTGCTTTACCCAAAATAATTTATTTGCTCAAATACAATTTGTTTAAAACATTATTTATAATTACTTATTTGGTTTGCTATTCATAAATTAGTAATACTTAAATTTTTTAATTAAAAATATTTGTACTAAAACAGCCTACATCTATTGATATACATATGTTTTTTGATTTTCCCTCACTAAGAAAAAAATTCTCTGTTGATCTTGCAAAATTGTTATAAAAATTATACATTTAAAACTAAATTTGCCATTAAAGTTCTTTATTACATAAATATAGCATTATTTATTATTATTACTGGAATTAGTTGTACAATACTTGCACCTATTAAAAAAAATATGTCTACATTAATATTACTATATCAGTAATAGTTAAAGACTGATTAAGATACTATTACTAAAAAAAAAAAATAAAAACAAACTTAAAGGATGTCAGCACACTATTTGTTTTTATCTCTGGTCCGTATTCAACATGGTATATTTTCATTTAGTAGAACCAAATTTGTGTTATTAACTTTAATATTAAAGCGATTTAAACTATTATCAAACTATTAAAATTTGAAGTAATCTGTGTTTGTAATTCAACTTTTTAAAAATGTTTCGGTTTAAAATGCTCAAATCTTCTTTTAAAATTTAAATGTTGTTAAAAAACCAACATATTAACATAGATAATGTTCTTAACTTTAAGTTTAATAATAGATAAATTTACTATACAAAATCTAACAACACAAGGTTGTTTCCGCTTAGTACTTGACAAGAAACTTTGATAAATTGGTGTTCAAATTACATACCTGAGTTATTGATCCAGAATTGAAGAGAAATTGTACAATGAAATTAAAAATCTACAAATAAGTAATTAATAATTTACTTATCTTCTATATGTAGTGCATCTACTACATCTGTGATTTGCGATCAGTGATAAATTTGTTTGGTTACTCAATAGGAGCCAAAAATATTTTCATTTCAAACATGCAATACTGAACATTATGCAGTGATAATAATAAGCGCCTATGTTCAAGCTTTTACAAATAATCTTAAGTCTACATTATGTACCTACCGTTTGATAATTTTTGTCCTCAATCGCCAAAAACTCAAGAGCTTTTTTCAACATTTCCAAGAAAATTAGATACCAAAAAAAGCGTGTAAGTGAATGTTGCTTAGCTGGTGAATGGTATTAAATTTGAATTTAATGATATACTATCATTGTACACAAAAAACGATTCTGAGCTGAGACGCTATGTCAGTCTAAGATATTTTATATTGTTATTATACTTATTATTAATATGGTAGTAGCTGGATAAAATTCATTTTTCCCAAAAAAAATACATCTGAAAAGTCATTGTGTGTATAAAATATAATAATATCCTTTAAACATTTCAAGTAAGTGCCCACAAATAATATTTTTAATTTACAACAAAATAGAAACAACATAAATCTGTGATTGTGAATGTAAAATTGAACATAAAAAAACGACTTAAATATCTTTAGATTTTTTGGTTACAAAATAGCCTGCTGCGTGGAACTGTTTTTCATTTTGAACCCTTAGCTATAAAAGCTGAAAATGTATAAAACTATTTGTAAAATGTTGTCAACATTTGAACCTTAAATGCTCGTAAAAAAAATCGCGCATATTTATTTTTAATAATTTTCAACCGATATTATAAATATATATCAGGAGTTGTGTATTAAATGCTCAAGCCTTTTGACCTAACAAATAAAATTTTTATTGACAATTATAGAGAAAAACTAAACAATTTAAAAAATTTAAAAGGTCCGTAAACAGCTTAAATGAGTCAAAATATTTTGAAAATTGTATGTTTTAAATTGTATATAAAACGCTAACACAAACATTCAGTGAAAATTGCATGTACCTATTTACGATATTTTTTTTTTGTTACATTTAAAATCAAAATCTAATTTTTTTCAAAAACCGGGCTTCCGTAAAAATTCCCGGTATCCCTGACGCTTTTGAAAACTATTAAGAATTTTTTACTTTTGAACCAACAATGTACCACCTAGATTCACTTTCCTACCAGAAATGTTTCTTTCCCACAGGCAGCCGTGCTGGTACTTTTATTATTTGTAACCACTTATATGCGTGAAACGAGGTTCTCAACCTGTGTATCCACAAAAACAAAATACCGCAACAGACTTGATGACGTACCTTATATTATGATAATACAATTTTCATAAATTTAGCGCAATATTAAGATTGTTTATAATAATACAAATCAATTTCACTCATTTCATTACATTTTTTTATAAAAAAATATTTTTTGAATTAAAAACCGTATTCAAAATTGTTATTATAAATTTTAGTGCAAATAATCCTTACATAAGATGACGCATTAAAACAATTTGAACAAATTAGGGGTTGAAATTTGTCAAGCTGTAATAACTAATTGCTAAAAATTAAATAAAAAAAGATAAAAAGCTAAAAAAAAGTTAGAGCTCTAATAACTTCCTAATTGGAACAAAATTTTCTTTTCTGTAGTTTTGATAAAAAACTCATAAAATAACCAAAAAGCTTTCTTGTTTTGAATTAAAATAAAATCATATTTTTTGGTATCAGTATTGATCTAGTTGAATCTACCATACACATTGTGATCTATAACTCTTTTTTTGTGTTCTACCAGCAAATGCCAGCTACAAAAATCATGCGATTAAATAAACTCTTTTGTCTATAATACAATTATGAGAAAAGTAGAATGAAGAATCCGTTGTTCACTATGGTGATAAATTAGGTATCCATAAAACATGTTAATCACAAAGAAAATTACATAGACCACAAACTCAGCACATTAAATGTTTATGGTATACATGTGTTATGTACTTATGTGTAAGTCCACATGTTTCCTCTTTGATTTAAAGGCAGTTCCAAGAAGAATTGTGAAGATCTATGCATACAACAAATTACTGAATATTCTAAGATTATCTAAATGAAATGAAAGCAGCCTTTTATGAGTAATTTATAGTTTTAGTGTAATTAACAACATTTAATACAATTAATATAATTCATAAAAAAATTTTTAATTTAATTTTAAATAATAGTATAAAATGGTTTTAAAAAATCTCAAAATTGTATGTTTTAAAGAGATATTAATGTATAATAAAATTTGAAACTAAAATACTAAAAAACATATTTCAATGGGGGCTGTACAATATTTTCCTTTATTGATTAAAACAAAATTACATTAGCACCGGACACCTTGTTTATAAAACATTATAATAGGATGTACTGAAAATAATATATTTATTTATTGTTCACATTGCTTAGGTTTAATAATATTAAAATATACAGTGAAAATGAACAGTTGAACTGGAAAAGTAGCAGAAAAATAAAAAAATATTCATTATTGATGTACGAGTATGTTGTATATAATATTTAACAACATATACATATTTATTTGTTGATAAAATATATTTTTACATTTTGTATAAACATATTGTTGATGATAACTGGTTTATTACAAAATAACTAAAATGTATGTCAGTGGTAAAATATATTTTAGGTACCCACTGAATTAGAAGGCTAGTAAACTTTTCAATAACATAAAATATAAAATAAAATAACTACTAATTAGGAATTATTGATTATAGGAATTCAATACAAATTATAAAAAATTTAAAAAATCTAATAGTATCATTAATATTTTTCTTTTATAAATAAAAAATCAAGTAAGGATTCATGCTTAGAATTAGAAAATGATTAAACACTACCGAGGAAATGGAAGTGATCGAGGAGTTTTTCATACAACAATATGATACAATTAAACAATATAATGATGAGTATAACTAGATGAAAAATAATAAAATATAACCATTTTTGGTTTATAACCTTCCAAATATTAACTTTATATCACAAAATTCAATGTTTAATAATTACTTTTAATATAATATAAATGTAAGTATACACTTTGTGCAACGATCTAAAAAATCAACTTTATCAATTCATAAAGAGGCAAAAAATTATTTGTGCATTCACCTATGCATTCTGGATTATTTATCTTTTTTTTTAATCAAAACAATCGGTGTTCTTGACCTAATTGCACTTGCACCAACTAAAGTAGTTGGACCAATTTGTACTGTTTGGTTGGACGGTAGTGCCCGCAATAACAAAATCTGAGTCTTGATAGCTGATTTAATGACTAAATAATTGTTGTAAGTCGAACATGCCAGATTTTCAGCGATTTCCGTCAACGATTCATATTCATTTGGTACCATGCAACTGCATGAAGATTCAAAAAAACTAAACAATGGGAACCAAATTCGCGTTCGACAAGAATCAACGTTGTTGCTTAATGCTTGATTGTTAGCTAGTGTGTGGTAGTATAGGAATAATCTTGACGTAATGTAAAAGGCAATGAATACATCAATGGAGTAGTGTTCATGACCCGAAAGTATAAAAAATATACCGAACATATTTAAGAGCCAACTGAATGTATGTAACAAATATATGTCGCGTGGAGTGTCTGCAAAAAATGTAATGTATTTAATATAGGTAAGCACAAATAAACATTTTAATTGTTTAGTCAAAATATAAATATTTACATTCTGTGATGAAAAAGTTTAACATGGTTAACGCCACCGTATGCCCACTAAACATATAGTCACCACAAGTGCGAACCCCTTGTATTGACATGCCAGCTCCCCTCCATATCACATACGCTTGTTGCATTTTGTATACCATTTCTCCCAAAAAATTTCCATCTATAACACAATATAATATTTATAATAAATTGAAATTAACTTAAAATAGAGAGAGATGTAGTCTAAAATCTAAATGCTACAGTAATGATGTTTAAGGAATTTTCAATTTTTTTACAGAAATAAAAATGGAAATTCAATCGATATAATTTATTAAACCGTACAATAGTTGTACTGCTGTCGTCATATCCCAAGCCCACATACCATCTAAATACGAAGGCTTCTTTCGGGGAGTGCATTCTAGATGCGTGCCCGGCACGGACAAGGAAGTTATGATCATCGTGATGCACCGTAACAGGAAGACTGTGCCCGATAGAGCGAAAAACCGCCTCAGTAGTATAAAACGGTGCTTGTGGAAGACCAGTACGGCGAGCCACACGAAACATAACACAGTGCCGGTGAGTTCACACATGTGAAACGCCCAGGGGATGTAAGGCACGTTGTCCAAGAATATGTCCGGCAAAGGGGGATATTTCTTCATGTCGGGTACGCGATCATGGACGATCACCATGACGAACGCCGTGATCCACGTTACGGTGAACAGGTAACCCATCGCAATGAGAGCTTTCCATATCTGTAGAAACAAACAAATCAAATATAACCTATGAGAATAATAAAGTTAAACACACTAAAACGTTAAACGTGCATTGCAAAGCTACTCATACACACTTCCGACGGTTTGGCGTTCGGAGTTGGCTGGGAGCTCCGAATGGCTATATGGTTATATTAATACTTATTTGTTATAAATTATAATATTTTATATTCATAGGTACTTCGTGGTTCGTACCTATGTGGATATGTACGAAATTCATATCGTACCTAATAAACAACTTGAATATACTATAGCTATTGTCCAGGGTTCATCAGAGTGATACTGATATACATACTTACTAATTTATTTATTGAATCATCATCATTTACGAAGTAGGTATAAAATATACAGTATTCAATACAAATACATTTCAAACAAAAAACAAATGCTTGATGAAGCTGTCCCAAAAAGCAAGCTTGTGAAAGGGAGCAGAGAAGTTAAAAACAGTTATACAATATACAATATATATCAGCGGTTCTTAACCTTTGGTCCGCGGCCCCCTGGGGGTCCGCAATACTCATGTCAGGGGTTCGCGGCAGCCTTACCACCTAACATAAGTTAATACGTGACATGAGTGCATTATTACAATATTTTTGGTTGCATGTTCGAAAGGATTATCCACAATTATCGAGTAAAGCTCTGAAAGTTTTGATTCCATTCCCCACAACTTATTTATGTGAAAAAGCCTTCTCAACCCTCATTTACATTAAAAATAAGTTTCAAAACCGAATACAAAACGTAGAATCTGAACTAAGATTAAAACTTTCAAGTATTGAGCCCGATGTTCAAAAACTCGTAACTGAAATGCAACATCAACCATCGCATTAATACTTATTAATTAAGTAAATAAAAATTAAGTTTTAAGAATATTTTTTTTTTTTATTTACTTGAAGAAATCTACAATCTATACATGGTTTTTGTACAATAAGTAGGTTTGGTGAGTGACAAGTAAAAAAAATAATATGGGTAATTAGATTAGGGAAGATACCCAGTGGTAACACCCTATGAAGAATATTAAGAATAAAATAATTTATATTACAATTTTTTTTAAATTTAAGTGTTTAATGATGTTAAAGTTTAAAATGAAAAATTAAGTTTAATAAAAATAATTATAAATGTGTATATTTTGTTATGTCTACTTCTATAATTTGTATTATAAAATAGTTATTATAATTTTGGTTATGATAACTTGATATGTTTTGTAAAAAAAAAGGTATTCGACAAAAAATTGGTAGGGGGGTCCGCGATTTCTAAAAATATTTCATCGGGGGTCCGTGTTCTACAAAAGGTTAAGAACCGCTGATATATATTACAATTATACAAAACTCATGAAGAGAGTTATATCATATGAAGATTATGAACGTATATATTGTCAGAGCCCAAGGGTTTTCTCACATGACACTCAGGATTACACGGGTAGTATTTTGGTATACTATATTAAATTTAGTATCATTTTGCGTTGTGCGAGCACCGGTTGTCCGAAATTCTGTCACAAAATAAGAAAATGGGCGACGTGTCTATACTGCGTTGTGGTGAGAAATAACTATCATGAAAGGTACGCTGGAAAAATAGGAGTTCCCATCAATAATATTGAGCTAGAAATCACAGGTAAAAAAATACCATGGGATTGATAAAGGTTATACATCAATTGCGCCAGACGATATTGAGGTACCAAAAATGTTATCATTTAGTTAAGTATTGATTGATGAGCCGTATTTCAGCTGACAGTTATTTTGACAGACATTTTAGCCGACATGTATTACTATTATTATGGTTTATCTAAACCATATTTTAGCCGAAAATTAAAATTGTGACCAACGTAAATAATTCTCGATGTTTTTACACGTTGGTATCATTGCTGGATAACTGGTATAAATATAATATCTATAACCGTAGTTTAAACTATTACCACAAAAATATTACCATGCATATTTACCGTTCAGACAAAATATGTGCCACCGCATGGGCGCCCATAGGTAACATTTTAGGGGGGGGGGGGTCAAAATAAAAAATTTCGGTAATATTTATTGAGCTACAAGTTCATAATATTTTTTTCCAGGGGGGGAGCAAGTACCCTGTCTTGCCCCCCCCCCCCAATGGGCGACAATGTGTGCCGGGTAAAATACGGTTCGGATTAAATATTTGTCTGCTTAAATACTGTCGGATGAAACATGTTCGACTGAAATAATGTCAGATACAATATTTTCAGATTTTGAAGTTAAAGGAAAAATTAAATCTTAAATTCTCACTATGAGGGGGATAGGTGTGGGAGAGTATTATGTATGTAAGATAGTACGACAGTGCGTCGAAAATGTGAGAGGTTTGAACCTCCTTATAACTTATGCTATTTTCCACAATAAATATTCATATTGTACAATAACAGTGATATACAAAATATTAACGTGTCCCTGCACCAATTATACGCGAAATATATACGTAATCTATATGCGAATAATATTTGGTTATTATATCAAGTATATGCACTGGAATTAAACATAAGTATATTGTTGTTGAATATTTACCCTCAATTATATATACTTTAAATGCTTATACACAAAAACCGCGACTATGCATCTTTAATATTTTTGAATAATTGTTAACATAACATCTTATAAGGAACTTTTCAAATGTCTATAAATAGCTTAGTCAAAATAATAGAAACATTTTAACATGTTTGGAAAATGCTTATAAAAACAATTTGTGAAAATGTAAAGAACCAACGATTAACAGTTTTTGAGTTACACCAAAAAATACTAAATCAATCATGTCAAAAACTATCCCCAAAATGTCCGTAAATTATGTAATATTTAAAAATTATAAACACAAAAAACGAAGCCAAAACTATAAGCAACCAGCAACCCGTTACCTGAGGTGGTTAAATTGATATAGTACCTATTACATATTATTTTATGTGTGTGGCATGTTTCTATTTTAAATATTATTACTTTAATTTATTATATACTATTTTACATAGTCATAGTCACAAACTATATGAAATCCGACTTTTATATTTTTTTGGACTTGACTCATCAGATATTACTCATTAATGACTTAATCTGGCATAATTTTTAGATTTCGGTGACATGCCAATAAGGACAACCCATTAAATCTATTCTCGATCATGCATGATCGTTCAGCTGTAACTATTATAATTATAGTACTCTCATTTGTGCACACTGTAGTATAGTCACTTTACTATAGTGTGTGACGTATGTATATGTAGACATTTTGAATATCACAGGTTTATTTCCTTAGAAACAACAAATGGGCATTTAAAGCTACTATAGTAATATACTAATATATAAGAATATGAGTAGAGCGATGAATGTAATGGTTTTCCACTGATGCACATTTTTTATTTATTTTTTGTGCGTCATAACTGTTTGAAGCAATAAAAATGCTCCAATCATGAACCTTAAGTGTGGTTTTTGGAAGAAAATTGGGTCTACCTAGTTGGTACTTTGGTAAAGCTCCTCATGATCCATAAATTGTTTTATTTAAAAATATCGAAAATACAAAAGTCAAAAATTACAAATAAAGTTATATTGCAATTAAAAATTAATTAAATTTATAATTTAAACACCTGAGACTTGAATGTAGAGCAAGATTCACCATTTTTTCTTGCTGGAGTGTTAAACAAAAGTTAAGCAGAAACAATATACATGTATAAACTTAAATTTCGACGACATTGGATATTAACACGTAAAATAAAGATTTCTCCTTAAATTAGGAACATGACCATTTATTAAGTAGTCATCTAAGAGGACCTTCGTCCATGTCACAACAATATAGCAATACATCGGTTCTGCACTGCACGCATATTTAGGTATTATACGTTTGTAAGACCAAAAAACACTCGCGAGTATTCAAAAAATAAATACTACTATTCGATTAATATAATACACAATAAAAAATGTACACTAATTAATACTATAAACATTTACATGTATAATAGTAATACTGTCCATGGTCTTTTATCATAATATTATATTATATTCATGTTCACTTATTTATACTACTACTTTATTTTAGTGGATTATAGGTATATTGCTATATTACATTGTATAATCCTGTATACATTTGTAAATGTAATAATTAAATAATAAAAACAATAATAAAGAGAAAATTGAATATACCTAATTATTGTATGACGTATATTATAGTACGTATACAAACATAAGAAAAACATATGTTTATAACTACATAAAACAACCGGTTAAATTCCGTAGTTTCTGCAGGCGAGTTCAAAAAACTTCAACATTCTAAATAGTTATAATAACGGTATCTTCTTAGTCATACAGACCTTAATTCTAGTTTCAACTAAAAAACTGTGACTCATTTTTTATTGGTTTTTTCAAACTCTTAAGAAAAGCACCAACTAGGATTTTTAACACTTCTTGTACCAATTGGATTAGACTTTCCATCAGATACCACCACCGTAGTTGGAGATTGACACACTCAAACAAACAAACGTATTATAACACACATCATAGTAAAAGCAATACGTTCTGCATACTTTTATACAATTTAAAATTTTATTTTAATACAGACTTGACGAAGTATTGTATCTATGAATATATCAGATTAATTAATTGAAAAATAAATTAAATATAAACTTTACTATTAATTATATTAATAATTGTACTATGAAATCGTATTTTAACTTGTTCCTTTTAATTGTATTCTCTTAATAATAATATTTAAAAAAATATATTTAAAAGGAAACTCAAGATATTATAACTTATAAATAGTATATACATAAGGAACCAAAATAATCAGTATTTTAAATTTATAGGTTAGTTGGTAACAACGACAACCAAATATTACTTGGTGCTATGATATAATATTTATAAATTATAATACCAAATGATACTTAAAACTTAATATTTTTTTTTTATTTATTTGGTCATGACTTAAGATTATATACTTTACGTATATAATAGAACAATATCCGAGAGTTCAGTAATCTTAATTATTAACAG